AGGACTCGGTACTTGATTTAAAAGCTGCTCTCAATGCACGTTCTTGAATTTGTTCAAGTTTGACACTTGTCGGAGGATTTACAGAAGTGCCACACAAAGTCACAGTACGTTAGATGAGGAAGAATATCGAATTTATAAAGTTGCATCTTAGCAGAACAGGGTATAAAATTATGTAACCTCAGTAACACTCCTACTTTCTGACTAGCTCTTCTGTTAATGACTTTCAAATGTTCACTGAATGCTAACTTTCATCAATGTTCACTCCGAGAATTATTAGTTTATCTGAGGATTTCACTACTTGATTGTCAATTTGAAGCAATAACGTGCCTACAAGCTCCTTTATAAAGAGCTTTGGATCGATGGCAATAATCTGATAATTGCTGGGATTGGCCTTTCTACCACTGTGTGACCTTTTCCGTTTCACTTTTTAGTTCTTGAACATCTGTTTTGATTGAGTCCCAGTCGTGTATATTTGATGGTCGTCTCCGTACATGAAAACATATTGTTTTGGAATAGATTCCGTGATAAAGGTGCAAAGGAAGAACCCTGTGGGCTTCCGCTGGTTTGTTCCTTTCACGCACTTTGCAGGTCTTGCAGTTTTACTTGGCTTCTTCGAAGCTTTTAAGAAGGATTTAAGGACGTCTCCGAAAACCGCATGCTGTAAGCTTCTGAATCCTTAGAGCAAGATGCAGCAAGTCAAACGCTGTGCTCATATGAGCGGATAATTTAGTCACACTTTCGTTCCTATCAGCAGTTGTTTTCTAATCCTCAACAAGCCTTATTAAAGTGTCTCGCCCCAATGTTGTTTTCTGTACGTAGCCATTTTGTAATAAAAGTGTGAATCCATGGTTGCCATAACTTTCCTGCTGAGCAATGACTCAAACACCTTGTCAACTGATTTGAGAACAAGATATAGGTCGATAATTGCAATGACGGTACAATTGCAGTTGTGTAATTGCCCCAAAGTAAAAGAAATGTATGTAAAGGAAATGCATCCAGAGAAGTAAGAATTCTTGATACTTAGCGTGCAATATATTTTATCAATGCATGCACTTGATAACTTCTTTGGGCAGTGTCCGACTTTAATTAGCCCCGGCGAACGAAGCCATCCGCCATTACAAGAAATGCTAATTTTGTGTTCCTCGTTTTGATCACTTTTGTCAGTAAAAGGAATGATTCATTTCCTTTATCCTGACCGGAAACGCTCGATTGCACTCTCAGTCAGACAAAGTTCCTCACCCTCCCCCCCCCACCCGGTATTTCAAAACTCAATACACCGACAATCTATACTTATTAAATATGCATTTTCGAGATGGTCGAGCGGCAATCGTAGGCGCGCAACGAGTGCAAGAGAGGTCATCGAGGTCGCGGGTTCAAATCATGTTATAGGAGTTATTCTTAATCTGGCTTGGGGGCCGAATAACTTCTCCCCGAGTACGATTTGGAGCTGGCTGACAAGGAGTAACTCTCGAACTGGCTTGGGGGCCGAGTTACTCCTCCCTGCGGAATTTGCATTTTGTTTTTGCTGTTTTTTCTACTTTTCCCCCCTGTTATCATCATTTTTATTTGATTTTCCTTTTTCCCTTTTTTTTCGTTCTGAGCAGTAGAAATGGATTTGTTTTCTTTAAACGTTTTTTGGGTCTTTTTACCTCTTTTACGTTTCTTATGTTTTATCTATAACAAGCTCGTCATCTGTCGGTATCCGCCGCTTTCGCCCCCTATCGAGTTCGCCCCTTCGAGTTCGCCCTTACCTTATACCGTGTTCGCCCCCACACTTTTCGAGTTCGACCCCATCAAGTCGAGTTCGCCCCTTGATTGAGTGATATCCAGACGAGTTGATTCGTAAGTTGATGAGTAAATTCTTCAGCCTTAATTTCATAATAAAGCTAAACGGGTACAAGTCTAACAACTTAAGCAATGCTGTCGCGATGAAAGCGTGGTTTGCATCTTCTCAAGTCTGGTTGTTACGATCACCACATTTCGTGTTCGTTAGATAAACCGTGTGGTTCTCTTTATCACAAGTTCAGTGTATACAGTTATTTCTGGTAACCCCAGATCCCACGCAGAGTATTTAGTTGATTCCGTCAACCCAGTTCCCAAGCAGGTTCCACGCAATTGCCGAAATTCAAAATGGTCGTCGCTGACGTGACATTTGGCACATTCTGCTAGTGCCTTCGTCACAAATCAACTCATCTGGATATCACTCAATCAAGGGGCGAACTCGACTTGATGGGGTCGAACTCGAAAAGTGTGGGGGCGAACACGGCATAAAGTGGGGGCGAACTCGAAGGGGCGAACTCGATAGGGGGCGAACGCGGTGCAATTCCATCTGTCGATAAGCAATGCAAGTTAGGAGGTAAATGTTTTCCTGTATGTCTGCGTACCGAGCTCTAACGTTGGGAAGTCGTTTTCCGATCGTAAACTGTAAACTGTTTTCGGCCTCCAAAGAAATTCACAGTTACCGCACCTTATTTAAGCGTGTGTCGATGCGTACATGCTGCCGATCGACCGATGAAACGCACCATCGAATTCCCCAGCAAGTCTCGTGACAAAGAGGTCCTCTCAAATTCGCAGGAAGGGGTCATTCCGAATTTGCAATGCAATAAAAGAAATCCAAAAATTCATCAGAAAAAACAGAAAGGAAATTGGGCAAAGCCAGCTAAGGAAAAAGAAAAACTTAGCTTCGATTTCTTCGGCCCGGGCTCTCTCGCGACCATTCTCTTTTCGGTTGTTTGATGAACGCTTTACGTACTAAACCCTTTGCGAAATGTGCCATAAATTCCCTTTTGTTGTGCAATGGAAGACTCGATGCAAACAAAATGTTTAAATCGAGAGGCCTTTCCGATTGTGACAGGTACCAAAAGCATAAAGATAAATGCTTAGAAACAAAAAAAAGAAAAAGAAAGATAACAATGATGATAAGATGGGGTAAATAAAGAAAAGTCAGCAAAGACGCATTTTTCTGTGAACGTGTTTATTATAAATATTTTTCCTTTACCTTATGTTACATTTTCAAAGACGCGGCAGTCAATTGTTAGATTCATAAACAAAGACTTGTAAAAGAAAGTAAAGGAAAAAGAAAGCAACTGATAAGCACCAAAATCGTACCAAAACCGCATAAAAAAAACAACAAAAAACAAAAAAGCAGAGAAAACATTGGGAAGCTACAGTCATAACCAAGACTTAAAACAGAATGCCTTTTTTTGGTTGCTTTTTTATGAGTTTTGTCTTTTGTTGTTCCTTTCAATAATTGTCAAAGTATTACCTCGTGCTCGTTAACTCTCTTTTTTTAAATTTATTGGATAGACATAAACTACATCACTGCGCGCGGATCTTCGGAAAAATTTTAGAAAAATGGCATGGTGGCTTTCTCAGTTCTGGATAAAGCAGGCAGACGTGGCGTTTTTCCAAACATAAGTTAGCAACAACTGATTCCGTGATATTTACATTTCGCGCGGGAAACATTTTAGATGTCATGTATGCTAAAGTAAAATGTCTTGTAATTTCCGTGGCGCTTACATAGCATTTATAGCCCTAGATACGTATCCGCTGAATGCCCCTACACTCCCCCTGTCGGAGCTACGACAAGAATGGCGACAGAGCCACAGGCGAAGAAAACTCGCGTGGAGTTGAAGTTAGTAGAATTTTCGTGTGTTATATAATCTTGAGCGATCGAATAATTTATTTGTGAAATTTGGTAATTTTTCGTTTTGGTGGGATAGTCTCCCTCGAATTTTTGAAAACTTCGTGGGATGTACTTCTTCAGCATATGTCAACAACAATGCGAAGATTTTAGCGGGAAGAAAACATTAAAAACTCAAGCCATGGAGTAGCGGAAATTTGGTCTGATTTATATCCGTTCGCTTTGATTTCACACGTGCAGAGAGTCATGGATGGATGTCATACGTTAAATTTGAAGTAATTTTACTGGAAGTTGGGACATATTAACCCCATGTGTCCTGCTGGCGATTGGGCAATAAGTCGTACCAGTCCTTTGTTAGACCTATAAGACAATCGTTAACCTTTGAGTCATTCTCTCGAACGGCTTCAACGAACAGCCAGTGGTCTGCCACCAGGTTAAACTCAATCTTAGTACACCGGTAATCTGAATTATACAATGACTAGGTAAGCTTCAAAAACATTTCAGCTTTAATACGTCCATTGGGAAATCTATATTTAGTGTGTCAGTTTAGGAGGACGAAATAAATTTAGAACGCTCATATTATCAATGAAACTTTAGTGTACCGGTTAATGATCGTTCTAAATCTAAATTTGTTCAATCTACTAGTTTGCCTGCTTTTGCTCAGATTTTTAGCTCTCTGCTGTGAAATTTCAGATGAAAATATTAAATCTCAACTCGCACCATGGTCAAATTTGAATTCTGCATTATTATGATGTAATATGTGTTGATCTCATACTTGAGCTGTTCAAGATCTCTATGATTTGTACCATTTCTCCCTCTTTCTTTTGTATCAAGAGTGGAGTAAGTTCCATAATGATGTCAAAAAGACAAAAAAAGGGAAATATTGTCTATTATTTAAGCCTTTGTGTTGAGCAGAAACCTGCAGGTGTGAAACTACTATCTACTTAATGCAGGGTTTTTACTTGAAACAGGTTGTTTTTAATTGCACAACATGAGTTGATTTTCAGACCCTCATTTAAGGCGAGTGAGTTTTCATCAGTTTTCAAATCTCTCCCACTTAAGAAGATAGTACAAAATTTGCTCACCAGATTCCACATTCAGTTGATTTAAAATGGAATGTATTGTAGTGTGAGAGTATAAATTAGGTTTGTTTTTCAAAGATAGAAGCAGGATAAAAATCTGTCTATTTATAATGCAGGTTTGACAATAGTTACGCATCTATTTAATAATGAACTTCAAGGTCGGATGAAGAGCTTTAAATTCAACAGCAAGTCTTCATTTATCTTAAGAAAGTTAAGCTTGAAGTTATCTTAACCTGAGTGTATTCCTTTCACCCTATTTATAATCACTGCTAAATTTTTTTTATAGAGAAGGAGTTGTCCTTGCATTGGGAAATCCTCTTTTGGATATCTCTGCCACTGTTGATAAAGATTTCTTAGACAAGTAAGTTGTATGATTTTACTACTTTGTACAGAACCAGAAATGATTTCCCTTTACTTGAGTGTTACTGTGGATTGGTAAAACGTTAAAACAGAGTACACCTTTGAACACCTATTATTTAAAAAAGCTTTGGATTAAAGTTGGGAGATGCATCCATCTGATCCATACTTATTACTCTTGTTTGAGCATTTTAACCCTTTAACTACCAGAATTGATTAACATGTAAATTCTCCATGTAATAGTCATATGTCATCCAGCAAACAGGCAATGAGAAAACTCAAACTTGTCAGGTAGAAGTTATCTTGATCTAACACCAAATTCTTGTAACTTAATTTTCAAGGGAATATGTATCAGCTAGAGGGGAGAATTAACAATTAGATCTTAGGAGATAAAGGGTTAAATATCACCACTGAATTTCCTTTTGTCCATTCAAATTTGACTTTGATGCAAATGCTGTTTTGAAAAGGAAACCAAATGGTTCCTTTCTGTGAGTCCAACTCAGTCAGATATAAAACTTTAATTCAAGCTTGAGCTTTACTGGCTAAGAAATAAATTTATCAGTGATTGCATTTGATTTATGCCTTTGTTACTTTTTTGCACATTATAATAGGTTTTTCTTTTTGTCTTGTATTTACAGGTTTGGACTTGAAGCTAACAATGCTATTTTGGCTGAAGAAAAACACCTACCAATGTGAGCTTAGAATAGAATTTTATGCTTATTGCACATCATTCAGATGAGGTGTTGTGATTGTTATTTTTGACTGTTTCAATAATTGCAAACACATCATTTCAGGTATCAAGAAATGACAGAGAAATTCAATGCCGAGTTCATTCCTGGTGGAGCTGCACAAAACAGTATTCGAGTTACTCAGGTAGCCAAGGAAAGAACTAAACAGGAATAGAGGCTGTGGTTTTAACCCGGAGCAAAGTAAAATCTCCTATATCTTTGCACTTCGGATAAAATCTGATTTTTCTCAAGTGGTCAAGATGCCTCAAATTTTTCACAAAACTAAGCCCATTGTATGTAGGAAACCTGTTTTAGTTCAGCATTCTGTTGGGATGAAAAGTAAATCAATATTTTCATGTTATTCCTATAGCTACAGTGTAGAATAATAATCCGAAAAATGTTACAATGTAGATTGATTACAAAAAGGAAAGCTAATAAGGAAGTGAAAATGGCACAGGTGCTTTGTGGTCAAAATTCACTTATTGTTCTCCAATGTCTTCAAAAATGCAAGTTAAAGTGTTTTTTTTATTATGAAAATACGGGTTTCCGCAAAGTATTGTACCTTGAAAAGTGATTGATCGGTTTCTCTTAGGGTATGGAATTTGAAATGTAAAAGATTCCATTATATGAAATAATTTGATATTTGGAAAAACCTTGTATGCATCTGAACTATTACCTTTGTGATGTTGGGTAGTTTGGTTTGGTTGTGGGTGAATGGCTTCTGTCTGCTAATTTATGGCATTGTATCATAGACTTGTCCCAGCCCTATGCTTTTAAGTCTAAACACAAACTACAGTTTGTTTGTAATGCTACCAGTCTAATATTTAACTGAACCCAATATGCTTAATAACATGGCAACATTTGACTATTGCAGTGGCTTTTAGGAAAGGATGGCAAAAACACATCTTACATTGGCTGTATTGGTGAGTTTTAAGTTTTTATTTAGTTTTATAACCAGGGTTTTTTACTCCCAGGAGTGGAAATTCTGTGCATATTTTTGTGCCAAATAGAGGCTATTGTTTATCTATTAGGGCCCAGTTGTATAAAAGGTGGATAACACCATACAGTGGATAAATTGCTACCCAGTGGATAACTGTAAACAAAATGTACTGCGTTATTCACCAGACAGCGATATATTTAGTGGATAGCGCCATCCAACATCCTAACAACATGGGCCAGGTAATCTAACACCAACTTTGAGTCACTAATTTACAAGGAAATATGTAACAGCTAGGGGGGAGAATTGACAACCAGATCTTGAAAGTTAAAGAGTTAAGCCCTTTTCTTGTGAGAACTCAGCTATTTGGATGCTTACAAATATCCATTTAATTTCTGTCAAAGTTTTACCTCAAATAAATGTTTGGTTAGTAGCAATCTTCAGCTCTATGGTTGCTTTTAAACATTTTTTAACATTTATATATGATTTCTAGGCAATGATGATTATGGGAAAATTCTGTCTGAAAAGGCCACAGGTGCTGGTGTTACTGTAAACTACTTAGTTCATGCTAAGGAACCCACAGGAACGTGTGCTGTGTGCATTACTGGAAAACACAGGTGGGTATTGAAAAAAATAATAGAAAACAGGTGATATTTTAGAAGTAAGGTTTTCGTATTTATTAAAAGTCTCTGAAGCCAAATGTTATGTAAAAATTTAAGATGCAGTTTTGTTCAGACTTGACTGTGAATACCTTGAGCATACAGGAATCTGTAAGTATATGTGAGGTAGCAATTACTTTGATTGATACCTAATCGAATTTACTGAACATGTCTTGGGACATGTGGGAGACACCACAGTTATGTAGGGTTAGCTTGCCAGAACATTGTGTGGAGAGATCTGGTTTTAGTTCCAACTAGGTTCATCACATTGGGTCCCTGGGCAAGACACTTGACTACCTTGCTGCTTCTCTCCCACATTGCTTTTCTTTCAACCTGAGTAACACTGGTGGACTGTAAGGGAAAACAGGGAATTGTTTAGGATGTAACATATTGGCTCCACACTCAGTTAACCCATGACACCCTAACATCAGTATGTAATTTATCCATACTGTTCATTATACATTTCGTAGGGTTCTGAAAAGGAGAATTTGTTTAACAGGCAAGAGTTCTTTAGTTGTTGATCATTTCCCTAATCTCATAACCTTAATGTTTCATTCAGGGCTGATATTGTCAGGAGAAGTTAGATGCCAGTCACTCTTAGGGGTTAAAGGGTTAAACTGGAATAAACTTGAGGACCTATGCAAGTTATTTTTATCAGAAAAGTCAACTGATGAAAAGTGTAAATTATTAAGAACTCTTGCTTCTAGGTCTCTAGTTGCCAACCTTGCTGCAGCCAACCATTACAGCAAAACAGAGCACTTGGATAAACCAGAAAACTGGGCTTTTGTTGAGAAGGCTGAAATTATTTATATTACTGTAAGTGCAGATTAAAAAAGTTCATCTCAAAACAATTTTATTGATTGATGCTACAGAAAGAAATACAGGTCAAAGATATTTTGACTAATAATGACAATTACAATTTCCTCAATTGTGACTAGTTTAAAAAACTCCTCTTTTCAGCTTATTCACTTGCCAAGTTGTTATCAGACAGTTTGTTATTGGACAGTCAATAAGCTAATCACATTTAAAGTTGTAGTTTAAATCAACCAATCACAACATTAAACAATCTTTAAATGCAAAAAATCAATATCCCCTTTCTTTCACAACTTGGCTATTCTTCTTCAAATTGTAATTTATATGATTAACTGGCAATAAGACTGAGTGGAGTCCGATTTTGTCCGTAATCATACTTGTGATAAACAAATGGGACTCCCACTATGAGGTTGTCCAATTTTGGATATCACTTGTTTGATTACAGGCCATCTGCTTTTGTTTTCTTGCCAGTGCAAAGTACACTCAGTCATGTCATACTTCACCAACTTGTACAAACATCTGTAATGACAGCCATGAATCCTTCCTTTGGCAGTTATTCTTGTTAGTTTAATAATTAAAAGATGTTTACAGAATGATATAGTTTATAGGTCTGGTCCTTTGATTTATTTCCTTATTAATAATGTTTACTCCTGTACAGGGCTTTTTCTTGACAGTATCTCCAGAATCAATTGTGACTGTAGGCAAACATGCTGCTGAGAAAAACAAGGTATTCCTATCATTATAAAAGTTAAAGACAACAAAAAACCCACTCAATTAACTCTTTAATTCCTGTGAGTGACCAAGACAGAATTTCTCCTTACAATATCAATACGATATTAAGCAGACAAGTAATGAGAATAAAGAAAAATATCAGGGGATTATGATGTGATCCAACACTTAATTCTCCAAACTAACATCACAAGAACTATGTGGCAGACAGTAAGGAGAATTACTAGTGAGATCTTGGGAGTTAATGGGTTAATTGTGCTTTGAACCCAAGATGTGGTTTGGTAACCATTATCTGGGTGCCATAGAATTGAACTCCTCCAGAGCGTAAAATTTTCAGGCTTAATCATGTTGTGCATTTTTTCCAATTTCAGTTCACCTGTGAGGAACATCCGTTATTTTTTGTCATCCGAAATGTTGACCTACATGTGATCATTTATTTGTGAGTTAAGAACTAATTTTATTTTCTCTGAATTGTAGATCTTCACAATGAACCTGTCCGCACCATTCTTATGTCAGGTCTTCAAAAAACCAATGATGGACGCACTACCATATGTGGACATTCTGTTTGGAAATGAGACAGTAAGTGCATTAAGTCCTTGGACCCCTTAACCAGCCTTTTTCGTTCAATAATAGAAAAGAGATCCTTTTTGTTGTAAGGGCTGCGAAGTACTACCAAATTGAACATGTTCTTCGGGCTTTTACTCCAATTTCTAAACGATCTTCGTGTGTCCATACGTATAAAAATACAAATTTAAGTTATTTTGCCTTTTCCTGAAATTTCTTCACGAGAAACTTCGAGTTACATGTTGACTTAATCGCCGCGGACCCGGTGGAAACCATCGTTACACTCTTATTGGTAACAATCGGAGTTATTTTTTCTTCGAGTATGCCAGTGCTGTTCACTGAATGACATTTTCTTTCACTTCACACTAGGCATAAAATTCACCATCTTCATTTGCATAATCATTGCACATTAGCATCACATATCGACATTCCTATCTTAGCATTATATTGAAGTTTTTCACCATGGATCCCTAGTTGAACGGCCTAGCCTACAACGATTCTCCTATCGCTCAGTGGTGCAGCATCCGAAGTACAAATCGGAAGGTCATAGCTTCGACTCCTGTTTGGAGCACTCGGATTTCTTTTTCTTAGAGTATGCCTGTCATCTCCTTTCATCCTTACACTTTGTTTTCCTGTTGCTTTTCTTTGTGTACCCAGTTGTAATCTGTGATTTAAGTGTTACCGAAGAAAATGAGTATGACAAATTATCTGGCATTTTCCCTGCCTTTGGAAAAAAATGTATTTCGCAACTAAAACTCATGAAATTTAATTTTCTTCCTCTTGCAGGAAGCTGGTATTTTCGCCAAAGAGCAAGAACTTGGAGTAAGTGCGAACGTGTTTTTAACGTATGTGTCACTATTTTTCATCACCACTGACAATACTTTCCTCCAAGTAAGTTGCAGGCTGCAAAGGATTAGGAATTGGTGCATACCTTGCTAGTGAGATCCAATAGGACGCTTTTGTGCAGACTATCCTGAGAATGGATTGATAGTTTAACAGAAATTGATCTTCAGCGACAGGGGTCCGACACGATCAATAGAGGCGATGGAGATTTCTTAGGCTCTGTAGTCCTATCTTGCGATCAGTTGGGAGGGAAACTTGGATTACGTTTGTTACGTAATAGATCTGGCACAACTAATTGTAGGAGCGAGCGTTTAGGGAAGTCATCCTATTTTCGCACGTTTTTGCCTCTATTCCTTTTTTGGCGTGTGCCTCACCTCAAATTGCCCACACCTTTCTATCTGAAAACCTGGCCTAAACTGCGCACAGGTCAAACAATGATCATTTCTTGTGTTATCAACAGACAGAAGACTTGAAAGAAATTGCGATTAAAATAGCAGCACTTGACAAAGTTAACAAAGACCGGCCGCGAATCGTGGTGATAACCCACGGAAAGGAACCGACTCTCGTTGTTAGAGGTAGGAACATACTATGGTACGCACCGTCCAAATCTCAAAATTTTACTTACCAGTGTACATAAACAATAGCAAGTAGAACTCTGTGATTGGTCCATAAAACTCGCGCCACTTTCTCAACCAATCAGATGCAAACCTAAATTAATCACGATAATTTGGTTGAACAAATAAGCTGATGATGTAGATTGGCCACAGTAAATAGTTTCTAAAGTTGACGTTTCGAGCGTTGGCCCTCTGCTCTGATGGAGGGGTGGCGTTCAGCTTTAGAAACTTTTTACGGTGGCCAGTACACGTTATCAACTCAGTTTTTAATACAAATTTTGTGGTTATACTCCTCCACCGACGCAGCAGCGCGGTTTCTTTAGAAATTTACTCCCTTTATTAATTTGTAAATTAATCACAACTTGGTTGCCCGCGCTTTCCCGCTCCAGTAAATAATTTCCCTTCTTCTGATTGGCCGCGCTCTATTTTCAGAGTAGGAGTAATCCGAGATCGTTGGCTTCTAGTTACTTGTACTAAGTTAGTGTTGTTTCCCAAAGCTAAAGCAATGTAGACTGTGTAGGTCACAATCTCGTAGTTTTTCAAATTGTCAAAGAATACCTCGCTCAAGCCACGTGGAAATACGACTGAGAAGGACTAGGGTTCATTTGCCTTAGTCCCTTTATCTCCGCGGTTATTGAAATATCGTCGCGGGTTTTTTTTTTTCAAAATGGGACCTGGGTTGTAGCTGGACCTGGTGTATTCTGCTACAAAAGTCAGGGCGTGAAATTGCGCCTAATACAGGCGCCAATGCGACTAAATTTTTCACTTTGGCGACCAAATCCTGAAAGTTAGTCGCCAAATTGGCGACTAGAACGTTTCATCATAACCTTACCAAGAGATATAGTGAATTAAAAATATTTGCAAAGATAAATCCGCGGCAAACTTCCTCATTAAGTTTGTTTCTAAAACGTAGCACGTGCTTCTCGATCGACAACTAGAGCCATCTTGGATTTAGATGAGCCTGAACGTTGTATATCATCCATCCTAGTGTCCACTTTGTAGCACGTTAAAGATCTTTTCCCTAACTTAATTTTGGGGGGTCTATCTAGAACGCTGACAGCGTAAAGAAAGATTTTGTTTGTCTTTGAAAATGGCGACCAACTTTTTTTGAATTGGCTACCACTTTGAAGAATTTAGGAGCCAAGTGGCTATCAGAAAAAAAAGTTAATTTCACGCCCTGAAAGTACGCTATACATACTTACTAACTTTCATGTCTATCTAATCACTGCTCCAATTGCCACGGAGTGCGGCAAAGATCTGGGGCCCGTTTCTCGAAAGTCTCAGTAACTGAACGGGCGCGAAGCCAATTTTTTTAAATCAAAGTTTAAAGAATAGAAAAGCAGGTTCTGGCTCCCTAACCATTCCATTTTCTTTCTTTAGCTGATAGTTTTATTATAGAATTTTCAAAACTTTTAAAACCCCCATATTGAAGGAGAACATACAAGCTTTAGCAGCCCTTCCAGGAATTTGCCTCAGGCTGGCAAAATGCTAAAAAAAAAAAAAGGGAAAGAAATGTAGAAGATTGACTCGGAATGCAAATAACGCGTCAAACTTTCTAAGATACCCAAAACTGCGGTTTGTCGACTGGTTAACCTTCCTGTGACCTGGTTTCAGATGGTAAAGTCACAGAATATCCAGTGATAGTGATCAAAGAGGAAGATATCGTAGATACAAACGGAGCTGGTGACGCCTTTGTTGGAGGTGAGATCGCTTAGACGTAGTTAGTCCTCTTTACCGCCGTTGTTTAGTCTGGCTACGCAAGGGGGAGAGCACTGAGAACGAGTTATGTTAACTAAACAAAACAACGACTGCGAAAAAGACGAACGTTTAGCCACTATATATCAAAACTTCAGCTGAGCTCCATGTTAATTCTTTCTTCAGCTCTGCCTCCTTGTTTACTAGAATGAAAAATTCTGTCCTCTGTCCATCATTTCCATGTGTAATGCTTGCTCACACCCATTTGATAAAGAGCTTTGCATTTTAGTACTATTCAACTTTGGAAAGAAGCCTAAACCTTAACTAAAGTTTTAAGCTTCTAATTCAATTTTTCATACGTTTTCTGACTTTCAAAATTTAGGGTCGATTTACTTTTGTTTTGCTTTGTTATGGATTTAAATTTAATAAAGTTAGATAAACCTCCGCAACTAACTTTGAAACCTGGCTTTTCGAGAGATAGCTTTACAAGGGAATGTATGTCAATGTGTAAACTGATTGTTCTGTACAACGATTACAGAACTTCTCTATTTATGAAGAATTAAGAATTTCAAAGCAATATTTTCTTGCAGGTTTTCTTAGTCAGCTCGCCCAAGGAAAGCCAATTGATGAATGTGTCCGCTGCGGTCACTATGCTGCCAACCATGTGATACAGCAGTCAGGTGTCACGTTGACTGACTTAACAAGCTTTTCATGATCTTTCGAAACTGCAACATTATTTCAGGCTCTGTAGGAATCATTTGAAATAAATTAACTTCGTGAGAAGCTTCTTGTGATTTGCTTTGTTCTACGGTTTGCGCAGGCTCAGATATGTAATTTCTGTCCTATGAGTGAGCACCGCTGACTAGCCTTTCTCTGTTAATAACGTTGTAAAGTTTTTTTACATCATAAGATTAATGTCATTAATTTTAAGACGTCGTTAGTTTTGAGACGTCATTAATTTTATTGACGTCGTTAAGTTGGTTAACGACGTCGTAACAGGCCTTGAAATCTGGTTAGTCGTTTTGTTAAACTAAGTCTTCTTTATTGGCTGGGAAAAAGATCCGATTCAGGCAGAAAACGGTGCGATTCGAGACTAAATCACACCGATGAGAGCCAATCATACTCCAAGGATCACCAGTGATTTCAAAATAGATGTCATTATATTTAATTTTTGACGCGTCTTGGTGATAGATGTAGAAGCGGTTACTCGCAGTTAGATTTTGGTACTAAATTTTTTGGTACTAAATTCTAAATCTTGAAAAGGGGTGTAAAGTGCTTAGAACAGCAATGTATCGGCGCCGTAGAGGTTATGTTACTATTATTATTATTATTATTATTATTATTATTATTTTCATTTATCATGCCATCATAGCATTTAAGAAGTCTCTAATTTCAGTAAGAACTTAAATTTTTTGACGATTACATTAGTTTTTATTGCGATTTACAGTTTATGACGTCTGTACTTTAAACAGAGTCGTTAAGTTTGTAAACGTTTGTTAATGTTAAAGACGCTGTTAATTTTAAGACGCTATTAATTTTACTCTGGAGTATACTTAGTATTTTACTCAGCCAAATAGACCCCTAACAATACCGCGGTTCCCTCTCGATTTTCGTATCTATCTTTCTCGCACCTTTTCCCCCAGATATGTTGTAAGCCAGAAACATGACGTAACTGGCAGCTATCTCTGTTTTTAAGACATTAAGGTCTGGATACACCAATAAATGAATTAAGGCCCTCCTGAAAAAGATTCTAGGGCTCAATTCTACAGTACTTCCTTTCCCAGTTGTCAATTCGTTCTCTTAGCGCGCGCGAAAAAATTGACGCGCGCGACATTAGGATAAACGTCACATTCAGGGATGACTCGTCATAAAGGAAAACCGGATCATCAATTGGAAAGCATCGTTTGCAGAGAAGAGACGTGTTGCACGTTTGACCGAAGAAAAATAATCAGCTTTTAGAGGTTACTAGAGTTGTTGCTTCGAATATTGGTTGACAAGGATTTTTTGCCCTATACAAGGTGAGGAAACGAACAGTACATTTGTGATTAAAAGTAGAAATGATCAGATCTTTCATTGCTCATTCGCTGGAAGTTTGTACTCAAAGGAGCGAGTTTTTTTTTTACCACAGGAGGGATGAAAGTTACGATCGTTTTAATCTGTTTTTTGCTGGCAACGGCAAGTCCCACTGGAGAGCGGAGTGCTAAATTCAGCCACTCCCTATCCAGTCACGCTAGGTATCTGACGCATCTGACAACAGCCAGTGGTAAGAAAAACTTAAATAGATATAGAAATAGTTTTCATATCTTTATACGTGCGCAATGATTGGTCAATTTAGCGGGTTTTATTTAACTATGCGGCTCGTTTAAATTTAAACGTTCCCCCTCTGTTTGAACCCAGAGATATAATAAATACCTCACTAATCTTGTTTTCTCGGTTCGCACTATAAGTTGAGGAACGTCGCTTTTTTCACTCCAATTTATGGCCCACGCGCTTCGCGTTTGTTTCTGTCAATGGTGAATGATTATGCCAAGAACACTAACAAGAAGAACGCATGTAAAACACTGAGAACAGGCTTTGCTGAAAAAAAGAAAAAAACAACAAACAAACAAATTTAAAAAGAAAGCAATCGAGGCTGTTGCTCTATTGTTTCGGTTTTCATCAAGTTTATCTTTACTAAATTTTTTCACAACGAAGATATATTTGCTCCTAATTTTACTTGTGATCATGCATAAATAAACAGGCTCTTTGGCATTTTTTTTCCAGATTTCCTGTTTCCTACAATATTTACTGTTTGTGGAAGTCTTTTGGCATTGTCACTGGTAGCAGTACACACAAAAAGTTATGTTTGGCTTCGAAATGACAAAGTTGAGAAGAATGGCGCCCGTTTGGATTTCTCACCTGGTCCCGTTATCCCTCTTTACGTCCATCGTGTCACGCAAGAAAGAATGCAATCAGCCGCTAAACGCTCTGTCACACAAGTCAATAGGCTCCCAGCGAGCTCAGCGAGCACTGTTAAGGAGGCTACTGAAGGTGACGGTCGGGAACTGTGGAAGAAACGGCGACAAATGCTGCGCGAGAAAAGAAAAGAGAGACGTGCAAAGGGACCGCTCATTGATCCCGAGGTACTGAAAAGAATCAACCAGGAGTGGCAGTTGATTTACGGGTTCACAAACAGAGATCTATTCCACATTGAAAACGAGTTAGAAAATACGGTTGCCAAGATTCGCTCTGTTTATTCCAAGAAAGACAAGGCTATCAAATTTGACGATTCCGTTCACGTTATGTTTGTCGAGAAAGAAAACAAAGGACGTCGGGTGAAGAGATCGCGAAAAATGGAAAAACATGCCACGAAATGTGACACAGAATCTCATTCAGCAGCTTATATTCAGTTTATTGTTTGAGGACTGCAGATAAGACAAATAAATCTATATAAATTGTATATTTACAATGACTCTACCATTTTAATTGTAGAATCAGACACAATAAAACTTAGATGTGATTTCAATGTGGTAGCAAACTCGTATTTCAAACGAAGTGTTCTATACCTTCACAACGAGTATGAATTAAATAATCACATATATGTGTTCTCTTAAAAAAAAAAAAAAAAGGTTTTCAAATTCTGTTCCGACTCTCTTGGTCGTTGGGGCTTATCAACGATAATTCGTTATCTCTAGTGAAGTGGCCTTGTCAATTGTGCTATTTAAGCCAGAAAACACATCCCGGCAAACTTTAGGCGAAATCGTTTGCGACAGCGACTTCCTCTAGCATCGTTGTATGATGTCCTTCAGTAGCGCTATCATTACATAATGGTTTTGAAGTCTTATGCTTATGTATCAAGAGCGTATCCACGAGAAAACCAGGCAGGGGGTGGTAATGTTCAAATCACTAATTTAGCTCAAACTTGGCGAAGATACTATAAGTATCTCGCTTTGCAACTTTGCGTCATCCAGAGCTCATGTTTGATTGGTTCTCTGTGAGTGCCTTTGTTTATCAACCAATCGGATTGCCCTGTTGATGTTGTTGTTGTTGTTGTTGTTTTTTTTTTTACTATTTTTGCATTAAATTACCTAAGGCTTTTTCCTGCACTAAATTTCCTTCTTAGTTCAGTATATTTCCTGAAATCTGCATTTCTCTCAGCTAATCAGAATCGAGAAATTTAGAAAGGAAATATAAGATCAGTTTGAATGAAAACATCAATCAGATTTCAATCCCGCTGCGCTAGTCGCACTGACATCGACTTTCCGTGAACGAAGATCTATCCTATCCAAAACGTAAATTGTCGAGATTGCTTCTTCACAATGCCAGCACTCTATTACAGACAATATACCACCGACTTTTCGTCTCTTATCGAACGAAAGGTCGATAAGCGGTTTTTCCTCCAAAGTACTGAAATCAGGGGAACCCGGTTGCTGGAATTCTACAGTCCTTCAGAACTGTCATTAGATATTCTCAGACAGTTTTCCCTTTTTATGAGTATTCATCTCATTTTCGGAAGTTTTGTGATGGCTTTTACTGCCCATGTAAGAATTATGACCAGAGGTGGTTGCTCAAGTACTAACTGCGAGATATGATAATACTTGTTCAGTATTCAATAACAATTTAAAGCGTCTTCTCCAGCGACTCACCATAACATAGGTAAACAAGTGACGAAAATTCTGCCCAAGCAGCAGATACAGGTATCTATTTTAGTGTCTTATTTTATTTTTTCATTTCAGTTTCCAGTTTCGGTTTCTGACATTGGGTTCCTGTGTGAATCAACTCTCTTTCCTACCGACCAATAATATTCAAGCATGTCTTTAAATAAACCCTGCATCAGAGGTGATATGAAAACCACACGTTTTATTGACCATCATCAGATGACAAATGAGTGAAGAAGAATCTTACTCGAACAAACGGGAGCGATGGATGCTGAAGCTCTTAAAAAAATACTAGGACCGAAAACCTTAAACCTGCTAAGTTACGTAGCAGTTATCTTGTGGTTCGGACTCGCAGTAACCCTTTCTGGTGTCTTTGTGGACATCGAACACAGGGAATCCAGGTTTGACTTTCACTGCAGTGGGGCTCCAGAACGCAGCGACGACATCGACAACAGCGAACTTTACCGGGGAAAGTGTTTTGAGCTATACGAGAGGCGGTATAACGAATATAGTGTCCCTATCTATGGCTTCGTGATTGTACATTGCTTCCTTGTGGGGTTTGTTTGTGCAGTTTACGCCCAGATAGCGAGTCCTATAGTCGATCAGTTACAGAACAGCAAACAGTCACACGACGATGAAGGGAGACAGTCACGCAACGACGAAAAAGAAAGAATGGGACGCAAGCTTTTTCTTGCTTACTGTTATCAACTTTCCATAAGGCTTGTCATAGGGGTATTGTTTATTATCTTACAAACTCTGTTGCTCTATCGTTTCGAAATTCTCCCCAAATTTCATTGCTCAACAACAGGAGAAGATGATCAGCGCAGAATTATCCCACTCGAGCTCGAGTGTCACAATCCACGGGCAAAGAAGAAGACCTTCTGGTTGCGTGCTCTTCTCGTAACGAATGGAACTTACGTGCTTCTTATTTTGATTGAAATGCTCTGCATTTTTTTGCGAAGAAAAACGTTTCTTACTGACCACCTAAATATTCCCGACTCGCCCCAAGGCCGCTCACAGCAAAAGGGACAGAAATGAATATGATGTCATTCTTATTAGGACATCTCTCCGCAACCAACGCACCCATAACCAATGATTGAGAGCATACCAAGAATATTAACAGAAAACAATGTTCAGAGCTTGGATCGCCGACCTTTCCGAGTTAATCGAGGCAAAGCCAAAATTAATCATCTGACACTCCACAAATTTATACTGATACAGTAAATTAGAGAAAACTTAATTTATAGAGAGTAGCACACTAAAGTAATAAAACTGATGACACAGTGGCCCTCTATAAAATAAAATTAAAAGTATGGAAATATCGTAGGTATAAAGGGCTTTTCTTTGTTAACATTGCCTCATCCACATACGAGGTGATTTAATTTCGAGGAGCTTGGGAAACATCGAAAAAGTTGGTCATATCTAAAGCGTAATTGATTAAGGATCTGCTTGAGGTTAGGGCCTTCAGGCAAGCTGGCATGACCAAGTCTAAAACCTTAACAGAATCAAATAAACCCTCTCACCTTCCTTTCTCTAGTGAAATAAACCTGAGTAAATGTAATCTAATCGTTTTAATCAATTCCTTCCATTCTCTTTGCCCAAGAACATAGTGAAAAATTCAAAATTATTTCGTATTCTGACACTCCGAGCCTCCTTTTTAAAGCTCAACCAACATTTTTCACTTTACTTTCGGTTACTTTCCCTTCCAAGTAAAATCAGCGAGCCATTTGTTTTCGCGGTCTAGGACAAGGGGCTAATCGGGTTAGGGTTAGCGTGAGGGATTATGCAAGAACTAGAAGCCAAGACAAACCTTCATAGTTACAATTCTATAACAGTCTCAGAAATAAGTTTCTACGGCGATGATGCTGCGGATCAGCGAAAGCTAAGAAACTTATTTTCAAACGATAGCTTTAGGCCTCATTTGAAACCATCACTAAATCCTTTGCTTTAATTACTCCACCATGCATAGAAATATCCCTTTGTGACCGAAAATTCGACAGCTTTTTAACGAAAACTGAAAATGAAACGGCGTGTCTTCTTTTTTGAACATTTCATCCTAACCAAATAATTTCTGATTTGAAAGAATTTAATTAAAGCTCACGGTATTATTTAGAAAAATACAGCAACTCTAGGAGTTTTCGAAGCAGATTGGTCTTCTTCGTGAGCAAATCAAAAGGTCCATCTACCGGTGAGAGTCAAGGCGACTTTGTATTTTTGAAGACTCATTCCATCGGGTCTAGACTCTCTATATCAAGTAAAGTCCTTAAAAAATTGGGTTGCATTTACGCCAGAAGCTATACATCTCTCGTTAATTTTGGTCAGCGAACAATTAAAATCGCCACCCACGATCAAAATTTTTCCAGCATCTTCTTTGAATAGTCTCGAAGCCAGTATATTGAAGCGGGAAGTTTTAGTGTCCATCATTTCGTGCGTCATTAATACCGAGCGAGACCTGAACACGAAATCTCGATTGTGGTTAGCATGACGAGAGGGACTGGTGTAAACAAATAATGAAAACATGGCGGCCAAAAGCGCACTTGAACGTGGAATAACATCAGTCTGGCAAAAACTTTTGACTGTTGTCAACAATGCCTTGGTTTATCTTGATAGTAGAACAGCTGAATGGACTCACTGGTGTGGTAATCTACAAGATCTGATTGATGCAGGAGCGCTTAATGTCTGCGACATTTCTTCTGGAAGAGTGAGTACTGGTCTTGATTTTCACAGATATCTTGTTTTAACTTTTAAATTCTTAATTGAAAGGCCAGAAAGGAAACAATTAAAATCATTAGCTTATTGAGTTATAACAGGAGATATTACGAGTGAAAGATTTTCGGAGATCGTGCGTGTTTATTATTTTAATTTTATGGACTACTTAAGCTTCAGAACGAAGAGATACCGATACATAAATTACTTTTTTGATTGTCTTCATCTTGCTAGCAAGTCAACAATACTAGCATCTTTAATTGTTTTAATGGAAATCTTACACTTGCCAACAAGTTTCCGTTTTGTAATTTCTCCTTGGCCCGTTTAAACCACTTTGTGCTTTTATGTGAGATAACGATTGAAAAGATTTTGAAATTATGGCCCTTCATTTCTGATCAAATGGTAGGTTTTTTAATTACCTATATATCATGCACCAATTTCAGGCAAATTTATCAATTTCAGTTTATCGTAACTCTTGCTCCTATTAACCTATTTTGTTTCCATTCACCTTATTGTTGCTAAATATTCCGTTAACCTTTTTTTCTAAAGATCTCATTAGTAATTCTCTTTCCTGTCTGCCATACAACTCATATGATGTTGGTTTTGAATTAACAAATAATCCCCCAGTTGTTAGTTTTCTTTATCCTCATTACTTGTCAGCTTTTGTTCACTCATGGGAATTAAAGAGTTAATAAATTAATCACCTTTCTCCCTGTTATTTTCAGGGGGGAAATGAATCAGAAACAAAAGCTGTGTTTGTGATTGGTACTCTTCTTCAAAGTGAGACTCTGGACTTGATTCATGCCATTGTAGAATCAAGCGATTTTCAGCACTGCACAATCCTTTGCACAGTGCCTGAAAATGTGCATTGTTTTGCAAGACATGTTGAAATAGGAGAAATATCACCATTTGGAGAAATATCACAGAAACTTAGAGAGTGGATGGGGAACATGGTAGGTTTAAGTAATTGGAAGGATAGGGTTGAAAATGTGGAAAAAATTGCTTAATTTTTCCTTGTTTTTCTCTTGCTTGCAGCCTGGTATAAGTAATAACATGATTTCAAGGGTGAGAGTAATTTATAGTCTTTGAAAAATCTATAAGAGCTTACTTACACCAAATTGCACTCAAATGACATGACAAAAGCAACACAGAAAGTCAAGAGAGACAAAATTCTGACAGTGCATGCTATTTGTAATTTGTACTTGCTTTACAACCTTGCACTCATATTACAACTTTGCACTTGTGTTACATAAAAAATGCTCTTGTTTCAGCTGATCAGAAGAGCATAACTTTTTTCATTTAATATATTGTTATACACCTTGATGATGGTGCAAAGGGGGGTCCTGATCTCATTTTATGCATGATTTGTATGAAAAATTAATGTATCATATGTGTAAAAGGGAAAACTTCAAATTACTCCTTTTGTGTGCAGGGTTTCAGATTAATCAAGTGTAGTTTTCACAAACTGGCAGACAAATTTGCAGTTCATGTTCTTACTCGCCTTTCTTTAAAATTCATGCATGAACCCTTTTCCACCCTCATCAATTAAAAAAAAATTGTTTGGTATTTGCTTCACTGATTTTTATATGTAATAAAAATATGCAAAAAATTCAGGTTTGTTAATAGCCACATATTAAGAAACTTCTATTTGTTTACTACAGTATGCCACTGTAGATGTCCACTACTTGCCCCTGTTTCCTGCTGTGGTTTGTCCTGGTCTTTTCATTACTCCTGTGTTTTCAACCTTTTTTCCTCTACTGCCATCAGACGTACCAAGACTACAAAAGTTTCTCAGGAGTACGGTATGATTTTTATCTAAATACCCCTTCTATTGGAGACTGAGTTATCAAGAATTCAGTTTAAATTTAACTACTCTTCTACGACAGAAGATGGGGCTGTATGGTCCTTGAGATATTTACCCTGTACCAGTATTAGACAAACTACAAATCTTACACAATATTCAATATTTTGTTTTAATTAAATGTATGTTTTGCTGTTTGTTTAAGTTCTGTGTGTGTGACATGTTGGAAACTTATCTAAACTGTCTGAAATTAACAGGGTGACAAAAGAGTATTTAACAGCCTGGATGACTTTGAGGTGACTTCTCTTCCTCATAATCTGCAATTGAAAGTCAAGGTAGGTAATGAATGTCTTTGCAGCATTTTGAATTGAAAGGGAAATATGCCCACAAATGCTAAGATTAGGCAGGGCAATAATCAGGAATCTGAAAATAATATAGAACAGCGCGCAACTTCTACTTTGTTGAGTCAGTTAGACAATGGTTTCCTTTGTGAAAATTTCCCTTTCTGTAAAACTTAAAAAAAAAAAATTCAACACTTCTCTAATGAATCTGTTTGGTTGTGGTCATCTTTCATATAAAAGATAAATGCTATTGGGGACTTTAAACCTGCAAAGAAAGAAAATATCAAAGTTTATGGGATTTCATTTTGTAACCTTCATCCAGTAAGTGAGTAATATGGAGGTCCTAATGATAAACCCCAACCACTCCATCAACAATAAATGTGACTTGAGTACATTATCCTTAGTTATTTTTTACCTTCACCTCACTGTTTCAGATGTTTGCCTTTGGTTTGAACAGTTTGTTTGAATTGTTGGAAGTCAGTGAGGATTGTTATGGAGTAGGATATCTCAGCAAAGTGATAGCTACAGAACTTGCAAACTTACCAGCGGCTAGAACAAGAAGAAAGGTACATCAGTCAATCACTTGTAAATTGGTCCCATTGCTTTCAATGAGAAGCTCTAATTAAACTTGGCTTAGGTGACAAACACCTACCTACAGTTAAGATTTGAATGTCATCAGCTGTAAAAAATTATCTTTGGTTTTTATCCTCAGGTCTAAAATTTAGCATCCTCCTTTCTACCATTGCATAAAGTCAATTGGTATAGTAGAACCTTGATTTAGTGAACCTCTATATAATGAACAGTACTCTTCAGCGCACCTAAAGTTACAGTAAAATGTATGGGAAAGAACCTCAAATAATGAAGCTTGATGTGACTAAATCCTTGTTATGATGAACACAATTCAGAAGCCAAAACGTATAATATACCCCACAAATGTTAACACGTGACCTTGAAGGACAAATGCAAAACAGACCAACAAGAATCAATATCCTTCAATTCTTTGAAAATAAAACAACTTCACAGTTAACAGCTCACTATAAATGCTGACACTGACGTTATCAACATATCTATAGATCGGCTTTATGCTCTTTGTCCCTTATTAGTTCTATTAAGTTGAATTTAACCTCTTCATTTTTGAAGGCTTCTTGTAGTTAAAGGTGTAAGAGGCAGGAATTTCCAGCATAATAGCCTTGTTTCTCTGTTTTCCAGTGACTTCCACTAAAATTTGTTCTCTTTGCTTAAAAAACAAGGTGCTGTAGCTATGTACAGACCTGTACAGTGCACGTGTACTGTAGCCTCAAATAGACATTAAAAAATAATGTTATTTACCATAATCATTCCAATCTCAAAATGCTGGTAGTGCAACGTCACACCAAAAAAAAAAAATTCTGTTAACCATCCCTCAATATAACAAACAATTTGGTTGTTTTTCCATAAATTCCTTGAATTGAGGTTTTCAGTATTTATTTAATAATGGACTTGGGATAAAACGAGCTGATTTCCCTAGTCCCTTGGCATTTTCTTAACTCAAGGTTCCCCTGTACCTTGCTCACAGAAAATTATATTTAAATTTAACTTAATGATATGCATGATGTCTGTCTGGGACTTTATTTTCCTTGGTACTTGTTTTTTGTAAAAGGTCTGTCTGTGAATTGTGATTAAATTTAGGTAATAGTCTGAGAAGAAATTGATGTATTAAACAGCAGTCTGTTTTTGATTTACACTGGTCAGAGCTTGAGCAGTCGTGGATCACTGATTTTGGTCGACAGAACACTTGATCTGGTAGGAGCAGCAAGCCACACATTTGATACACTTGCTGACAGGATCATCCAGTCATTGCCAAGATTACCACAACACACCAGTGATGTTGCTGTAGATATGTCACCACTTTGCTCTCCTGGCAGGTATGATAAAGGTCACATTTTTATGAAAGGAAACCTCTTGTTCATATTGGTTCAGCTCTTAACCTTTTAACTCCTACTAGAGTTAGGATATCATGTCACTCTCCTCACAAATACATTAACCAGCAATGGGTAGAGGAGAATACTCAATCTTATCTGTTGGAAGATGTTATCTTGATATGACATGAAATGTGCTCAACATGCAAATGAATAGTAGTTAAAGGGAAATATATCATGATGGTATTTACTTGATTTAGCCCCACAGCTTTGTTACCTTTATTTCAAAATCATGTTTTAGAAATGACAGCCAAATTTTTAAAATAATTTGTAACTATCATGTAAAACATAATTAAGTAATCTCACTTTTTTCATATCAATTTTTCAAGGGTAGGGTAGATTATTGAGTTTAAACAAGCATGATAGCTCCTATGTGTAATCTTCAAGGAAAGACCTCATTCTCCTGTTTGTATGTTGCATATATTTGAGCACAGAAATTTTTGGAAGTCATGCTTCTGTGTATGGTGCTAAATCACATGGGACACTTATTTGAGAAATACAATAGGTGCAAGGCTGAACAGGTCATTCTTTCTACTCTTCTTGTTTTCAGTTCAACTCCACACACTGTGGCGCCAGGCTGCTTAGCACATCCTCGAGATCCTTCTACCCAGGCTCTTCTCTGCTCCATGATAACCAAGAGACTAAAGGTGCCCTGCACATGATAAACATGTTTTATTTTTTCAGACTTCACTGATATATATTAGAAGTTATTCTATTCCATTGATATGTGCACCTCCTGCCACCTTGAACTTGAGATCCCATCCTTGGGTGTGGACCTGTGTCAGAGTATCACAGACTACCCTGGACCTCTCTGTTTCAAGGCAAAGAGAAATAAAAAAAAATTTTCCTAATTGTTATGTACTGTCATGAGAAGCAACAAACAAATGATTATTTTTGTATTTAAAAATCTATTTTAACAGTTCTAACAGTTATTTATAACCACTCAGTACTATCTGATCATTTGCCAATGCTTTACTCAAGTAATTCTTTGCCATATTTGAGAAGTAAATCTCATGTTTATAATAAGTACCAGTATTACTTTTTTTTTTTTCTGTGTCATATTTTTTTACTATTGACATATACCCCTGTTTTTGTCTCTAAGGAAAGCCTTATGGATTTGTCAAGACAGTTACAAGATGCTTTGACTAAAGAATCACTGATACAAAAGAACAAAGGTGTTCAGAATAAAATCACAATAGAGCAGCTGGTATCCATGTCAGAACATTTCAGGTATATCTACATTGTTTTTATACATAAATTTAATACTTACTCTCAAGATTGCAGTAAATTTTTGTTCTACCTTTAGGGGACTTTGAGTCTTTTTGGTGCAAGTAAATACTCTTCTCCCTTTCTTAGAGGTCAGCCAAAGTGTTTACAAAGACATGGTGCACTGCTGCAGTTGGTCAGAGCCACAATTACAGCATTGAAGAATGAACACAATTCACAAATGGAACTCTTGCAAGCTATAGAAAAAGTAAGTTTTCTATAAATTTTTCTCCCAGTTCTCAATGCCAATTAGTTGATACAGACTAAATAACCTAAGTTTCTGGCATCATCCACGTTGTAGCATTTACGATGAAAAAATTGTCAAATACTATTAGTAAACTTTGTGGCTGGTATGATGCAGTGTTTCGTCTCGGCCAAGAGACTCATCAGATACCTTTCATAAATTTAAAGTGAACTTGTCAAGCATTGTGTTCAAAGTCCTGTTCATGGAGTTTGCAAAGTCAGGATATTAGTAGTCTGCCATTAGCATTGTCCTTACAATTTGCTGATGCTTATTTACAGTATTGTGGCTGGTTGGGAATATTGCCTTTGAAGGGTGGTTATTGTTCTCCAAAAATCTAAAGTGATGGTGAAATGAAAATAAGGATGAATTAGTTGGATTGAGCATTGTGCTAGGATTGCAGGGTCATGCACTGAAATCCTGGCATCTTTTTTCAGTTGCAGGAAATTGAGAAATATCACAGGAAGGATCATTTCATGATTTAATTTCATCAGCACAGCTCATATGAAATCTCTCAAAAATTGAATTTCTAAAGGCATTATGAAGTATGACATATACAGTCATTTAAAAGGACACTAGACAGTTCTCAGTTTCAGTTCATTTGGCCCAGTGTCCAATTCACAAGACACAATTATTAAATTTCATTTCACTTACTTTTTCTGAGAGATTAATTCTTTTTTATTTTTAAAGGGTTTAATTCTCCACATTGGAGAACATGGACCTCAAAGTGCTTTATCAGAGGTGATAAGTGCGTTACAGTCTGACAGTAGACAGAGGTGTGTATGTAAGCTCTTCCTCTTTTGTTTTTTAATATGTCTCATCCATTTGAAGCCAAAGGTAATGTGGAAGAAGGCTATTAACTACTTATTGTGAACATATTTTACAGAGTGGCCTAAAGTTGAAGCAGTTTTCTGGTAGCTTCATCCCCAAACATACTTACTCCTTCCTTCTTTTATGTAAGGTTTTGGTTGGTTATGCCTCACTGATATCTTTAAGATGTGCTAGGCCTTTATTATAACCTTGAGGATAAGGTAGCTTATGGCAAATATTATCAAGCATGGAGTTTAGGGGATCATTTTACACTTGCTTTATATTCTTTTACAGATTTATAGCTGTAGAAGATGTTTTGCTTGTCCTGGTGTTCCTATACTCTCTTACTGGTGGACAGGATTGCTTTGACTCGCCCATGGAAGAAGAACAAATCAAAGTATGCACAACCTCTTATTTAACATGATGATGTTTTGACTTATCTATGTTACAGTCTGTGTGCTATTAGTTTGCTAAGCTGAGTTTTATATAAGAATATATATATATATATATATATATATATATATATATATAATTGTGTAATTTATTACATATGATTGGTATAAACAAGTAATTGGTGTTGGAGCAAGAAACACAAAGCTAATGCAGTTCTAGATTGCTTTCAATATTCAATTGAAAATTGTTGAGTTAACACTGATTATGCTATTAATGCACAGCTGGGTAATCCTCATTACTTGTCTTGCTATGTCTTTGATACTTTTCACAGAACATGCTGGTGAATAGCATACTCAGTGGAGAGCTGAAATGCAACAGTGAGCAGTTCTTAGGTTTGTGACAACCTTTGGGAACTCCAGGAGTCTCAAGGGTGTTGGAGGACTTTAAATGAGGGATGCTACACCACCATATACAGATTACTACTTTTTCGTATGAAGAAAGGGGAGGAATGGGAGCCACATACATCTCAGCCATCCCCCTCCCCCCTCCCCCAGTTTGGCTACACCCCTCAGCCCAAATGATCCGGCAACAAAACTGATGGTTTTATCGATTTTCATGATATGGAATGACCTGTGGGAGAAATTTTGACCCTCTTTAAAAACAATTAATGTCAACGTCGTTAACGTTGTGCTAAGAGTAACTTTTTTTATTTGGAGTAAGAAATGTTCCCCATTTACTACATTCTGATTTATGGTTCAGCTCTTTTTTTAAGAACGCAATCACACCCTCACTCAACCCCCCTTAGTTCACACCTATGAAGTTTCATTTATTTCTTGACATAAAGGGTCGGAACTGTCGGAGAAGACCGTAAGAAGCAGAATTTCGGATGCTTTTGAAAAAGTTCGAGGCGTTAGCTTGGCGAGAGAAGAACTGCAAGTGTTCAGGTATTGTTGGATAATGTATAGAAATGTTGAGGTTTGTGTGAATTATAAGTGTTACGTTTGACTTGTTTGGGATTACCTGTAATCTGTGTTTTTCTTCTTTTTTGAAAGAAATGTATTTCAGATGGGAACAGCATTGAAACCAGCTCAATATTATCCTCTCGTCAAACAGGTTTGTTCGCATTTGTCATCTTGTTACTGTTAGTGATGCTTTCTTTTTGTCTGCCACTATTATGGGGTTTTTGGACTAAATAACTTATAAGTTGCAACAAGAAGACATAGCAACTGGTTGCTGTCTGTTTTGTGCAGTTTATCAAAATACCAGAAACAAACTTACGTTACTGTCGGCTTTATTATGATAGAAGCCGTTGCTTGGTAATTAATGCTCTAGATTGCAAATCGAAAGTTCGTGGCTTGAGTCCATGGAAGGTCATTTTTTTATGTTATTGGACAAGACACGGTACCCTGACAATGCCTCTCTCTACCTATAATATATATAATATATATAAACGGGTACGTTTATCCACTGAAAATATAGGGAGAGGGGGGTGGTATGGGTAGAGTTTAACCCGTGATGGAGTGACATCACGTAGTGGAGGAGTGGCACGCTTTTTGCAGACGAAACTGAGTCGGAGTAACCCTCGGTGGCCATGTGAGTCACTTTATTATAATTTGCACTTTAGTAGACTATACTTTAGAAACACTTTTCAGAGCATTGTTTTAGTAACAAAGCTTTTCCTGTGAAGTTTGAGTTTAAAGCGTTTTGTGTGATTCAACCAAAGGAAATTGTTCTGATTTATTTGAATGTCTAAAATGCTTCATCTTTTTCAGATAACAGAAGGCATTTTTAGTCCTGAATCACCTGAACTACCCGACATCGAGTTCAAGTCACACGGATTTAAGGATCTTATCAAAACAGGATTTAGGTAAAACGAAAGGGGCGATTTTGTTTTTGCTGTCAGTTATTTCCTGCCTGAGATGCACGTCATGCTATATTCGTTAATTCACCATTTCTTGTTTTATTGTTTGACTCAGTTTATTCATGAATGTGAGCAAGCCTCGTCCTAATGACCATCCTTTGTTGGTTCTGTTCATCGTTGGGGGAATCACATGTTCAGAGGTTCACCAGATAAGGGAAGCGTTAGCTGCGTATCATCCTAATACCCAGGTGAGAGCGTTGTTGTTATAGAGCCAATTTTCTGCGTGTTCTCCTAAATAAAAACCAAAGTAATCAACATGGGAAGTTTCCCCTTTAGCGTTAGTGGGTCCATACGGCTTGGACGTATGTTAGGCCACCCACAAGTTCTGGAACTAACTAAAGACAGAGCGGAAGGGTATACTTGAATACTGTGAACGGTAATTTAGGAAAAGCATTACTCTATTTTCATTCTTACGGAACGCTTTGATCTGAGGAGTTTCTAGTCACTGGTGGGACTTCCGACGCAACATTCTGATTCACTTCTGTTTCTCTTCGTTCCAGCTTTTAATTGGTAGCACACGGCTTATGAGAGGCGAAGATTTGTTCAAGGACGTTTTCCTCCAGGATAATCTGTTCCCAGCTCTTCATTAATGATTTTCATGAAGTGTGGCTTGACACACATCTGGCTTGTGACGCCGATGAGAAGTTGTCCAAGTCGTCGACTAACTTGCTCGAGAACATAACATACGTGTGAGTGATAGTGGATGGTCAGTTGTTTTCAACAAAACAAAAGAAAAACTGTAAATTGAACAGCTAAATGGACAACACACGCAACCCCAAGCCCATAATGACATCACGATGGTCAAAGATTCCCTGATAATTTTTTTATTGCTATAACCAATTGAAGATTGGTCAACACAAGAGAATAGAAATTGGTCAATGAATATCTCCCCAATCGTTTTTAGTAGAGGCTTAAAAAAAAGGAAGAACCTGAGATCAAGTACAAGTGCTAAGAGAAGAGACTTACAAAGGACCAAAAGCCAAACGCGGCGCAAAACAAAAAATTTTGAACTTATTTAAAATATTGAACAAATGCACGAAGGGTGCATAACAGTTGCAGTAATGGAAGCGACAGGCGTAGAGCTTCGTCAAAATATTCTATAATTTTTCATATCCTGAGAGTGCTTTTATTGTGGCGTGAGAAACAACTAAAATGTCCCTAAGAGATACCTTTTAAGGGTGCGCCGTTTGTTACATCTGACCAGTGACACAGAGCATCGACAGTGGCAAGATGTAATTTAGTGTTGACAACTGAGTTGAAAACGTAAATTGGCCACCGTAAAGAGTTTAAAGTTTCGAGCGTCAGCCCTTCGTCAATTTGGCAAGATGGTTTACTTATGGAGTTGTAAAGCGGACTTATAGTATATTTTCCACAGAGAACAAACCTTGGATAATCTTTTTTGAAATCTAATTTATAAAAGATGGGCTAAATATATGGAGTTGTTTGCAGGTTTCAAAATAAACTGGAAGGTCAAAGTCTAGTAGTAGTTACCTCCCTAAGCCATTGATCAGGTTTCCAAACCTACATCATTTCCCATGGTAATATCATGTTCGAGAGTTTCCCATAACCTTTGAGGTGACTTTACAAGATTCACAATCACGTCTTAGGTCATTCCCAACCTTCTGATTGGTTTATAACAACTAATCACATTTGCTTGACTGCTCTCAAGTTCCAGTGCTGAATGCCCTCTTCAATTCACAGTATCTCGTTACTAGCTCCTGTGGTCCAGATAGCAAGGTTCACATCGAGGGCCTGTTATTTTAAGAAAATTAAGCCAAATCTTATTTTTGAAGTGATGAAGATGATTAAGAGTTGTTGCTAGATAGTTAAGGTAGCCTACAACACTTGAGGATTACACTCCAACTGCAATGATTCTCGTGAAATTACTGTCGTAAGAACTTATTCAGGAACTTGTTCTTCCAATCCAACATTGGGGGAGGAGCTAACAGGGAGGAGGGGTGACAGTGTAAGGGGGGGCGTGAGTAACTTTTGATTGTTTTGATTGTTAAGGAGAAGGGGTTCTTTAAATGAGTACATCATGCACAGAATAATCGAGATAAACACTCTGCTCATGAAACGAATAAGTTAACTATTTGTTGTTATGGTAACGGCCAGAGAAAGTCTTATAGAATATGAATACTTTGTTCTTCTATATTCACCTCGCTCCGCAGCTTCTGCTCAATATATCTGTGTATTCATTTGAATTATAGAATCAAACTTGCAACTTTTTTTAAATTTAATCTCTGGTGTATTCCGCCCTTGCCACACTCTTGGACGTAGAGACCTGGATCCATGATCCTTGGGGATTGTCTTCTTTGCAGCCGTTCATTGTAACGGACGTATTGCGTGACAAATAAAAGTACTGCGAAGGAGTCCGCTCATTCGATTTTATAACTGTTTTATTCTAACGAATACCTCCAGTCAAATTAACTAAGTATTAAGAGGTGAATAATTTCTTCGACCATGCTCCGGGCGACTATTCTCTGCGTCACGTCCGTCCCTTGTTCATCATATTCTAATTTGCTCATAAAAGTGAGCTTTTTAACCCTTCAACTCCCGAGATCTGATCGTTAATTCTCCCCTCTAACTGCCAGACATCTGCTTGCAACTTAGTTATGAGAAACTGATGCTAGATCAAGATAGCAGCTCCTACCAGATAAGTTTGAGTATTCTCATTACCTATTTGTTGAATAATGTGTGGATGTTACAAGGAGAAGGTTCATGTCAATCACTACTGGGAGTTTATGGGTTAAATTCGATCTCCTTCAGTTTATTCACATCCACAAGAATCTTTTTCATGACTATGAACATGTTGAAATCATATTTGTGAACTGTGGATTAAGAAATGAATATGAAAACGATCTTCGCAGTAATGAAACTCCTTAGCTGGAGCAGTAATGAAAACGAGTTTCGGGTCTTATTTTCACTACTGTTTAAGTAGTGTTCATTACTGCGAAGATCGCTTTCATATTCACAACGATCTTTTGTTGTCTGTCGTTATGTAGGATGAGACTGCGATGATTGTCAGACCCCAGGCCAGCACACTAGATTTCGGGTATGTCAGTATCTTGCGGAAGTATGTAAGCAGCTTTTTTCGTATATGTCGACACCTGCGAGGAGACCACCCTGACATTTACAGAAGTTTCTTTTTGGACATCACGATCCTCATCGTTTTCTGCCGCTTCCCTTGTAGATAAATGAAATAAAGAGAATTCGAGAAGGATAAAAAAAAAACCTGACACCCGCAGTTCATGTTAATCGTGATTTACTCATCAGTTCGTTTCAGAGCCATAAAGAAAGATTAAGAGAATTATAAAGTTCAGCATAATCGCTTTATGACCATGAGATGTTTATCCTTTATCAGAAAAATAAAGGAAATTATCAAGTAATGGCAATTTTGCCAAGACATTTAACTGCAAAGGCTAACTGGGAATGTGCATGAAAACTTTATTTGTAACATACTTTCGGCGTCGCTAAGTGAGATGTCACTAAGGGCTTTTTCGTAACTAGTTTTCGGCATCTCTGAACATATGGGTTCTTATCTTAATTTAGGTCTGTGAAAGTCGTCAAAACTTACTTAGATAACCAGCTTTTCGTAACTCTTCATCTGGGAGAGACTGAAAGCGGTGAAAATAGAGGAAATTGTAAAAACACGAAACGATAACACTCCGCTCGTTCCATACGCCCATCCCGTGAATTGTTCACGGAAAGCACCACTATGTTGCACAAGTGTCTAATAGTAAACGAACTTAGAGTTAATTAATCAAAAGAATTTGAGGCTTTCTTTTGCAAGCGAACAATGCCTTGAATAGTAAAGAAGCGCGGAAGAAAGTTATTTGAATACAAAGAGAGGCGGGAAGATGTAAAGGAAATGCATTTCAAAGAGGCTTGTGACGTCATGAAGCAACAATGCTCTTCCGTTGGAGTAGTTTTGGCAGTTGAAGTAGGTCTTGTCACATCCTGTGTGCTGCGGTGTGGCGATCAGGAACGGTGATTTCGAGTTATTTTCTCTGAAACAAAAGATTATTATCAAGACGTGTGAAGGTAACTAAAGGTCAGGAATTAAGGCACGCTTTGGAGAGGAAAGAGAATGGATAAAGCCTCGCTTGACAAGATCTGCCTGAAAGGTTTGTGGGAAAACATTTGGTTACTATTGCGGGTGTCGTGTTTAATTTGGCAGGATTCTGCGTGAGTTTGATCGTAGCGTTAGTGTGACTCTTTAAGCGTGGAATTCTTCCGTCTCTTAACACGTGATTTTGGTGCTTTGATACCTAGTGCGGTCGAGGGAACGGTCTAACAACGTAGAGTTCAGTTTATATTCCTTACCTTGCCCGCGGCTCCCCACCACAATTTTACGTAGGGAACTAAACACAGCCGGCAGGTTATATTGAACTATATTGTTTGAGTGTTCGTTCGGGTGTCCGTGTAGTAAAAAATGTACCACATTAGTGTTTCATTCAAAGCTTTTCCGAAGGCTTATCTTTAAGCTTATTTTAAACTTAGCTTGCTAGAAATGCTACTGCGAAAATTGACTCCGCAGAGACTCGTCGGCGCTTTCAGGTCCTTCTCTCTGATTGAACTAACGATAAGAACAATCATGCACATATTTTTTTCCACTTTATATTCTCTTCTCTGTTTGAAAAATTAAACTCATTTATTACAATCTTATGATGTTTTTGGAGTAGGCGGAAATTTCAATTTTGCAGTCGTATTCAACGGAAGGTGGTGCTATTGTTTGCCCAAACGTTCGTTTGAATTTAGAAAATTATATTAGCCATACAGATGTAAGCTGCCTTAGACACAGCTCATTAATGAATCACGCAATTCTATAAGATTCTCAGCGTCCGGTTTCATCTTTAATTCTCACTGATGTATTTCCAGAGTATAAAGCTTTGTGAAGTGCAGACAAAGCCTTAATTACGTTTGCAGATAGTAGTTCGTTATCACGTCGGAATCACGCCTTCTAACGGAAGATGGCCCATTCGGGAATTCTAACATTTCCTTTCTCGTTTAGCTGTATATCAAGGAAACCAAATGTTGAAGGATCCAATAGCATTGGTTAACCAAACCTTGCGATTAAATACTCAATGTGTTGTATATTTATAACACTACGCATTTTTTTTTATGTCACAACGTTCGCTGTTGTAAACAAATCTAGTCTTCATGTTAGCCGGTTCGAAGCCATTGGTATCAAAACGGATTTCTTTCCTTGTTTATGAGTCAAAATCGAGATTTTTCGGCTATTATATCGAGGTTATCATGTGATTTTAAACATTGTGGTTTTATGCTTGATTACTTTACGAAGAGATTTGATATGCTGGCGTTTTTTATGTAAATTTTACTGTAGTATTGCCTCAAAATCATTCCACCTTCTGAGAAGGTGCACTTTGTCTTTTGTGATGTTAGCAAGGGTGTCATGCAGAGATGCATACTAAAGTACTGCGCACGTTGAGACACTTGAATAGATCGACGGAAAAACACCTTGTGAGGTAGAGTTCGTTATTTTTTCTTGTTCTCCTTTTTTATGTAAATGTTTTCATGAGTGTTTTCCGCGATGCTTATTTTAAGTTGATTTAGTTGGCAATTCGTGAAAACCTCTTTTAAGAATTATCTCGTGTCGATAAAAGTTCAACTCTTATGACAAATATCATCTGTATGAATTGTTAAAGCAGCGTCATGCGATTCATATAAGTAAGAAGGAACATGTTACTTCTTTTAACTCTTACTAGAGGAATGAAGAAATTATTCCAGAAGTTAATCCACCCTGTAATAGGATAAGGCAAACAGGGCTACAACCGCTCGGCGCTAATATTACAAAACATTTAGCTCATACAGGAAATTTTCCGCTGGAGCAGTATTTCATTATTTTTTTTACAGAAGAGGTAATTGTTCTATGATTTATATTAGGTGAGTTGTCTGCCGTGATAAATGCTTCCTAAATTGATAAGTAGCTAGGGTCTACTGGATCCATGGATATAAAGTATGCATTGCTCATTTGTTAATGCAAACAGGCAAGACTTTACATGTAGATGTAAATACAGGGGGATTATGAGAACTTAGACAATGAGAAAATGAGGGCACTTGTATTCATGAATGTGTCTATGAGAGACATAAAGATGATATATGCACACAATTTGTGGTAGTTAGTGTGCCTGTTAGACTTTCAGTATGTGGTAGTGCTCAGAGGCTTTGAACCTCTTTCATAAACCATCTTTTATGTTTAAAGGACATAGTTTATTTTGCAAATATTGTTGAAGCAACTGAGTAAATAAAGCGATCAAATCTTTTGAGAGCCATGTTAATGGTATTTCTTGTTAAGACCTTGATTTCTTGGTGAAGTATTTTAAGATGTGTTTACTATGGTAAAGGTCTGTTGCCAATTTAAACCATGCCATGTCACTATACACATGGAAAGAAAATGATATCATTTTTCACAAACTTTACTCTTTCATTCTTAGCAGCCGTTTTTAATTTTGTTCAGGAAGTTGAGCAAACAACAAAGAGCAAACAGATGTTTCTTCTCACCAAATTAAGCAAAATCCCAAAGAATCTTTGTTTTAAGTCATCTGCACAAACTAAATGCATTAGGTTTTGGTAATTTAATTTGTAAACAATCTTACTGGTTTGATCCAGCAGCATAGTAATTTAAGTCAGTCTGATAACCTTGAACTTGTGTATTTGCTTACATATATCCATTGTAAGTGCCAATCTGGTTTGGAACATTACCATGCTTTTTTCCTAGAAACTTGGTACCCTTTGATAAATAGCCTTGTGACAGGAAAAACTAGAAAACTAGACATGAAACATAGAGCACTGTAGTTGCTAATAGCGCAACTCTTGCAAAACGTAGGTTGGATTTAGAGAAGGTTGTTTTGCTGAAACCTCTGAATCTTTACACTTAGGTAACATCTAAAAATACTGAATAATCCTCTTGAAAAATTCATTCGTCCAGCTTAAATCATTGAATTTATTGAAGAAATTCTTTGCTGCTCGGTAAATCCATTTAGTCAAAGCATTTACTTAAAAGAGTGCATGTTGAAACCTTGTCCAAATGAGGTCATAACTACAGAACTTGAATTGGTCTCGGAATATGGAGATGCCATTCTTCAGTTCTGTATATGTATGAGGAAATGCCCTTCCTCAAAGTTAAATTACTCTTACACTTCCCCATTGTAAAGTTGTGGATATGTCACAGAAAACTTAACTTATATGCCTAATAGTACCTATGGATTGGTTTTATTTACAAGCCCAGTAATAGCACTAGCACTTTCTTACAATTGATTGCAGAGATACCTTTTTTTAATGCCCATGGAATGGTGTGACATTATATATAGCAATTTACCCCAAATTAAAGGTCATAGAGGGACAAACAAGGAGTTACAGTATATAAACTGATCTCAGAGAGGAAATTTTTGTGAGCATCAAGATTCTAAGATGACAAAAGGCTTTGCTGTATATTACATACCTTGCAGGTTCAAATCTTATTATTGTATATTTATCATGATGAAGCGGATTATATCCAAGAATTTCTTCTCAAAAATCGCTGGTGATGACTTTTTGCTTTGAAATCTCAAAAGGAATTCTTGTTAGTAGTAAAATTGCTTGTTCAAGAGGACTGAACGTAAGTGAATTTGTGTGACAAAATGAAAAAATGACAACAATAATAATCATGTTTTGTGGCTTGATGATGATTCAAGTATGTGTTCTACTCTTGATTTATGGAAATGGTTTAAATTAATTGGATGTCCCTATAATCAAATGATATGTACCATGGGGTGATAATTTTTATGCATTTTTGGTATGTCTGTGGGTTTTGTTATCACTTCAGATAATATTCAGGAAGTGCTCTGTTTGAAATCCATTTTTGTGCTCAACACATAGTTAAATTGGTAACATTTCAGTCCATTTCAGGTCATATTGGGTATATTTAAATTAAAGTTAAACCACAAGGGCTGATCTTTTAATGTTTGGTTTGAAGTGGAAATTGTCTTAAATTGTCTACTAGCTGTTAAGTACAACTTTATTGCGTTGAGAAATCATGACAGACTGACATTGAAAAGGAGCTGTTATGGGACAGTCAAGAACAAAACAAAGAATGCTTGAAATATTACAGATTTCTTTAGACATTGGTACTAAGTGAGATCACTGTAACTGGAGCTACAGTATGTACAGTATGTATCTTGTCGAAATGTGGAACATCAGAATAATTTTTCAGAAATATGAAAAATTCATTTGTATATTGAGTTGAAATTCAGTAATTTGTTGGTAATAATTAGTTATTAATTATACCTTTGTGTGTTGTCTGATATCCAAAACAAAGTCAACTACTCATGCTAAACTAGTACCTCATCTCCTTATCCATTAGTGTATTTCTTGTCCAGTAAATTTCTTAATGATCCTTTTGCAATAAACAGTGTGAGGCCTTGATCTCTGTTTGGACCCATTTTCCATGTACAGTAACAGTGTAACTTATATCCTTTTTATCTTTGTGCAAATTGAAAGACTTACTCATTTTGTTTCAAATTTGTATTTATACATGAAGATATTGAGTATTCATGTCATGCATATAATGAAGCAATTACACTATATTTTTATTATGTAAATGACATTTTGTGAATTCCTTTAGTTGACTGTGGCTGTTTGTTTAATGAAGCATTTATGGCAGTATTTAGTTTCAAATGTTGACAGACAAAACTTGTTTGCAGTTGCAGTGAGCTTTACCCCCAACTTGGTTTCTAAGACAGATTTTGTGTAAGCTTTGGTTTGAAGTTATTTGCTTTGTTTGGTAAGAAAAAACTTAGAGAACTCCTGTTGTTGTATGTGGTCTAGTAGTTGCAATTATTATCTCAACTTGTGAGATAATGTTTTGCCTGTAATTAATTTCACTGCCCCAGTAGAGATCATGATTATAGAACTGTGTTGAAACTAGTCATCTTTGTGTGTTTCACAACTTTGTATTGTGTTTCCCATGAAGGATTTTGATCAAGTTTGTATTTTAGGATATGTGTTTGGCATTTTTCAAATTGTACAAGGGAAGCATGTTTGAATACTAAGCATATTTGTTGGTTGGATGTTTCGTCCCATTATTCATAGACAAATACACTGTCTATTACATTTTTGAGAGAGGCTTCAATATTTCCTCACATCCACATATATTTTCATCAGATGAAACATGGTAACTTTTTGTACATGCTGTTGACTTGAAGTTAATCTATTCATTTCATAGTAGTGGTTTTGTAAGCTAATTCTCAGAAGTTCTAGAACATTCAAAGCAATTATGACTTTGGTTGGATCCTTATCACATGTTGAAAACAAGTTTTGGTTTTCTACTGATGGTAGTGATTAACAATTTCCTTTTTAAACTATCACTTAAATGTGGATTCATAACAACTTACATGTAAGTGTTATGCTTCAAATTTCAATGGCACTTATGAGTAATTTGTTTCTTGATATCACAAAGTCTGCCTGTTGGATGTAACCCTTGTGAAGTTTGTCATTGAAAACACACTCCCTGTGTCTTTGCTAGAAGTCAGGTTTTTCCTACTGAGATTTTTATCACTGAACCCACTATTTATCTTTAACAAGTGATTAAACTTACAGTGATTAAATTGTGATCAGGATTAGAACTCAGACAGTAGAAAGAAAATTAATATGTTAGGTCAGGTTCTGGGTTAAAAAACTTAATTATCAAAACTATTGAAGCCATTTCTGATCAAGATTTAAACACATTTTGATGTCAAGCTAGCATTGATGATCCTGTAGCATTTCCACCAACAGAAATTTCTCGTCTTTATTTCAGGTCTCGGCTTGAAACACCTCAAGCTTTTGTGACACCATTATGGGAATGAGGGGAAGTTTTTGACATGAGTGGCAAAGAAAAGACAGGAGTAGTTCACCGACCTAATCGTGGAAGAAGTGCACCTGATAGCAAAAGTAAAACAGACTCTGGGTGTTTCCTGGATGATGAGATTGAAAGAAATGGCAGTAGTGACAGCTCGCATGGGTCCATAAGCTCCTCACCAGTGAAGGAAAAAGCTTCAAAAAAGTGTAAAGCAGCAAATAAAGAAAGTCAAGCAGATACTGGTACTACATTGGTGGCATCTTCTGCGTCAACTGCTACTGAAGAAAATTGTGCAAATAGTCATGTTGCTGGCAAGGAAAATGCCATGAATGGAGAGGTAATCACAAATGGGGAAAATGGAACTGTAGTTACAGATAGTGTGGATGGAGTTTCTGATGTTCTTGAGAAAACCAGACGAGCCAGTGATTTTTACTGCCTTTACTATGGTGAGTCTCCAGAGGGTACATTGACAACAAACGATGCCATTAAATTGAGAGGGAAACCACCTGTTCCTCCCAAGCCTAAGATAAGACGTGGCAGTGCCCCCCCTTCAAGTTTTAATCACATTGATAGAGTTCTTACCGAAAATAAAGACGTCACCAAGCGTTTCTCCTATAATGAAAGCCAAAGTGAGTACAAAGCTGTCAATGGAGAGCATGAGGAGAGCCAGGAATGTGCAAAGAGAAACTCTGTTGAAACACGTGTTCTCTTTTTTGAAGCATTTGCTAAAGATGGAGCAATTGAAAACACAGTTTCTAAAAATGTACAGACTACAAATGTCAAAGACTCACCTTATGCTCTTGGAAGCAAAGATTTCACGTCAGAAAGTTGCAGTGATTCACACCTAGTTCTTAATTGTCAAGACCAAGCTGAAAATATTGCCCCGTTAGCAGACAGTGAGACATTTTCCTTGGAAAGTGACAATGATGATTGTGAATCTTTTAATGTACATCAGGGAGCTGTACATTCACCACAGCAGTTTGTGCCTCTAGTTGAAGAAGAAGAATTTGCTATTGATGGGAGCAGTTTTTTCCAGTCTTCGGTGAATTCTTCTTTTGTCCATGAAAAATTCCATGACAATAGCATTGAGAATGAAAAAACAAGGCTTGAATGTGTCAGTGAAGATGAAAAAGTTGACATTCAAGGACAGTTTGTACCTGATGTAGATCATAATGGTGACAATGTTGCTGTTCATGAAATTGACCATTCCTTCTCAACAACAGCAGCCTCAATACCTGAACAGAATGTTATGGAAAGTTTAAAATTTCCAGCAAGGGGAAGTGATCTTTTAAGAACCACAGTATCTGGCAATGATATTCAATTCAGTGACAATATTTGGTCCTTGCATGATTTTGTGCAGATTGAACAACTGGGAACAGGCCCAGGTGGAAAGCTACAAAATCCACGTGTGAATGAACTCAAACATGAATTGTTGATTCGTTCAAGGTCTTGTGACCAGAAGAAAGCGCAAAGACGCCCAGGGTCAATTGCTGGTTTCCCAAACTGGAAAGAAGGTGATACTACTTCTGAGTTGAAAAGGAGATCGTGGTCATTTAGTGAGCCAAGTCCTGTTGATGTTGACTCTCCTTTTGTGCGCAAAATTTACCAAGTTCCTGCACCCAAACTGATAAGGTCATCATGGTGTTCAGAGAGTGGTCTTTCCTCCCCTTTTGTTGGCACTGTTCGGCAACCATTGCAGAGCCCTTCAACTGGAAAAAAAGTTTCCCACAGAAAATTTGGGGAGGCTGATCGCCGCACAGTAAGTGCGTCAAACCTGGAGTATTCAGGTTACACCTCTGATGACAGCAGTGTTCATTCTGAACCTTTATTTCAGCCATTGAGGCATCAACCACATGGTCTTCGTAATGGCCACATTCCCAAAAGTATGTCACTTGATTCCAGCATTTGTCTCACAGACAATGAAAGCTCCTCTTTGCCTAAGATACAACGAAGAAGAGCAAGACATTCCTTAGGGAGTCGTGATCCTATTAATGCGCTGAAGAGACAATCTATTGAGTTTGCCACTGATGAACAGCCACCTTTATTTCGACCTGTTAGTCCTGCTCAGGTGTCACACCCAGAGACCCTGCGACGGGCTTCATCTTACACAAGCTCTTCAAGTGATTCAGAAGTTGAGAAAATCTTCAAGCTGCCAAACTTCCCGACACAGGGTTACCAACATCACACTAATGGTACTATTCATGATGGCTTGGTCAAAGCAGTGACTCGACGTAAAGTCAGTGCAATGGAGGCTCTGTTTGGCCCTCAGTCTTCACGAAATGGACATAGCTCAGATTCTGAGGTGTCTAGAAGAAAAACTCTTTCCGAGAGGTTTTCTGAAGTTTCACAAGCACCAATATCAGAAGGGGCATTTATCTCTGAGCAATTTCAGAATGAAGAACTTGAAGGAATAGTTTGTGAAAATGAACCAAAGGATGGTGGAGAACCAGGACTTGAGTTTGATGATACGGATTACAGTGAGTTTTATACTCGATGCGAAGACAAAGACAGCTTAATTTCAGCTGAAGCACTGAGCATAAAAAAGCTCTTACAGTCTCCACAGACAGTGTCACCTGATCCTGAAATTGAATCTGTGGTGATGTCTATTACTGAGAGGAAGTCATCAAAGTCAACTTTAGAGGACAAGGAGCCTCATGAGATTCAGACTGGATTATTTAAAAATAACACAGCTTGTGTTGATGAAACCATTCCTGAGCATGAAACAGCTGAACAATTCTTCAGAAGACATAGGGGTACTCAAACACCACCTCCAGCTGTGTTCAAAGCTTTGAATCCACCACCTTCAGTTGCAACACAAACTTCTCTGGTGAACTTTCAACAAGAGCTACCTTCCTTGCTGTTACAAGAACTAGAGTTGCAGATCAAGACACCAACAATAAAGAGAGCATCTCCCACACTATCAGCATCACAGGAACAGAATTTGTCATTGCTGGACCAATTCCAGCCAGTTGCATCATCTTCTGCTTATGTCAATGACACAGACATGCTAGCCCCTCCTCAGGAGAGTGATAAGGCTGTGTCTGTGGAAGAGCTTCTACAGATCCTAGCTGGTATGCAAGTGGGTACCTCAAAGGAGACAGTACCTCGCAGACCTGTTTCTGTACAGAGGTATAGCTGCCCATCTCCTCAAAATGACAATAAATTTGAAAGACTCAACAAAGCTCCAAAGAGTCTACCAAGCAGCTGGCAGCATTTAAGTCGGCCCGCTGGCAAAAAGAATGACAATGATGGCTTCAAAAAGCCTAGTCATGTTCCACCGAGGTCTTCTAAGAGCTATGACTGCTTGAGGCGTGGCCATTCTGCTAGAGAGAGGCGTACCAATGTGATAGAAGCAAAGACTCTGAGGCGTTCTGAAAGCAGTGAAAATATCCATAAAAGCCTCAGAGAATGGAGACTAAGAGCACAGGTTTTTGAAGAGGAGGTGGAGTGTCAGGATAATAGGGAAGATAAACTCAAGAAACTGAAATGCAAGGAAGAAAAAGTTTTGAGAGTTTCTTTTGAGGGTAGTGAATCAACAGATAGCATAGAAACACAAAGCAAGTTGACTAACACTCACAGCCTGAAAAGGCCTCGGAAGGACAGAGCTTTTTCACATAAGGATAAAAATCAAGCTGATAATGAAGGCTTTGATGCAAAACAAAGTCTTTCAGCTCCAGATACAAAGCAGGACACGGCCACTGCTAAGGAGACTGAATGCGGGGACAATGATTTAGAAGAATCAGCTAGTAGCCATGGAGAAAACTCAGGAATTTTAGAATTAACTACACCAGCTGAGGGCTTCCAGAATAAAACTCAAGCAACACTGTGCCATGAAGTAGCTAGTCCTGAAGGTATTGACGTGTTCATTGACTACAGAAAAAAGCATGGAATGCACATTACAAGTACACCAAAACCTCTGCCAAACCGTGTACAAAAAGAGGAGGGGGTTGGTAAAATAATTTTCGATGAACTTGATGATGCACAACCAGAAAAACCAGTGATCACCTCCACAAAGGAGGACAAGCATGCCATTAGTGATGTGGAATCTCAAGGAGATGCTTCATCATCATCATATTCATCAGATGATGATCGCTTTGGAGAATTTGGTGGCAGCACAGAAACAGTGGTCTTTGTAGACACAGAACCTTGCCCAGAGATATCATTGGTGGGAACTGACCTAGAGACTCTTGATCTAAATCTTGGTGGTCCAAATGACAAACTTTTATCTGTGAGTGATAATGATGACAAGAAGGATGAGACTCACCTAGATGCTCTCCTAGGAGAAGTGCGTAGATCTCTGAATTTGGAATTTGTGGACTCTGATATCCTGGATAAAGCAATTGACAGGTTTAAGAAGCGTGTTTCCCCAAGCTCCCAAAACAAGGTAAGGGTAACAAGACTTTATATTTTCTGTATCTGTGTACATGTATCTATTTGTTTATTTATTATTTTTCAATTTTTTTCTTACATTGTGTAATATCAGGTTATCCATGCATACCTGAGAACCAGTAATCAAAGCTACCCAGATTTATTTTATGTTAAATAATTGTGATTTAGTGGTCTAGCTTAGCAATTAAACTGTGTTCAAGTATCCTTAATCAGGAAATGTGCAAGCATTATTTAAGTGTTTTCATGGCAACCAAATCTGTAGGAGAGCGGCTTGGGATGGGACCACATTTCCCACCAAAGTTTTACAGCTGTATGGCATTTCTGAGTTTAAGGCTGCATTTGAGACCTTGAGTTGTGCATCACCGCGTGTAGTATGTTTCAGAAGAAGTATGTATTTGTACCTATGAGTGAAAGTTTTGCCAAGTTAGGTTTTATTTTCAAATGAATCATTTTGTTGAAGGTTCTAAGGATGTGGTAACTTTACTTAAATAAGGCTTTATTTATTTTTAGAGATCAGGTTTTAAACTAGGGTCTGATAGAGATTCTTGCAGCTTTTTGTAAGGCTGGTTTGATTTCTCAGTAGAAAAAAAAAACACTTTGTTGTCTTTGAAAATAGATACACCCTCAGGATGTCTATTGTCCTTCAGTGTATGTTAAATATTCCCGCATTTCATGATTAAATCACAATAGATGGCAGATTTACATTGGGAAAATTAGTTTAACCCTTTCACTCTTAAGATCTTATTAGTAATTCTCCCAACTTTCTGCAATACAATTGTTGTGATTTTAGTTTGGAGAATTTGGCATTGAAATCAACTCAACTAATAATCCCAGAATTGATGTTTTTCTCTATTCTTACCACTTGTCTGCTTGATACTGTATTGATATTCAAGGGAGAAATTCTGTTTTGGTCACTTGATCTGCCTCTAGTCTAAATAGATGTGTTTATTAACCTTAAAATCCTTGATGGTTTGTGCTTATTTTTCTGTCCTTAAAATATCCATTTTAATTTGATAGTTTATCTTGGATTTGATAAGCAGATTTATTTTTACAGTCACGCAAAACAAGCCACTTAGCGTATTAATAACTAAACACATTAGTTACCTCTGTGATGCATTTTTGACTAGTAATTTCAATGTATTTAAGGCTAAGTCTAAATTGTGCTTCTTGTTTAATTGCAATATCTGTAAAGTTTCATTTTCTAAAAGCTACCAGATTGTTGCAATATGATCTTGTGTTTCCAAGTTTTCATTAAGGTATATTAAGTACTTGTCAATCAGGTAACAACATCGGACCTGCATGTCAGAAACATCTGAAAAATGTCATATTCAGGAAGCTGTCTCTAATTCTAGTGAGAAGCTGCAGGTAAAATATCTGCTTAGAAACTGGACATTTTCTGTTTGGTGTATTCCGACCCTCAGCTTCGAATACATTCAGGTATTGCTTGGAACCTGTTTTATGTTATTTTAAGCTCGACCTTATCCTATGTTTTTTAAAGAAAGTTATCCTTTCTATATAAGTATCTTGAATTTGAACTGTTTTGTTTGTTTGTCAAACTTTTTACATCTAAACGTTTTTCTTTTCATTTACACTTAAACAAATGATTGGGAAACCATGAGGTATGTTCGCGTGATTTTTTCGGATTTCTTCATTTCCCTTTGGGAGATTGTTTCTGTACTAAAAACGAATGGTTTTTCAAGCTTTATAAACTCAGCCACCGACAGCCTCATTTAATTAATTATTCTGGTCCATCTCAAACTTTCAGTCCCGAATCAGGTTTTTTGTTGTTAAAGTAGGAAGTAACTGTTAGGTATGCCTGTTGGGTATGCCTTTCTATAACGCTTCAGTTTAATCTTATAAAGAATTGCTGACAACACATTAAGTAGTCGTACTTACAATTTGTAAGACAACGTTCAGAGAACTTCTGATACGGAATTAGGACGTACGCAAATTTAACTTACCAGGGAATTGATAACCAGACAATTTCACAGCTTGAAGTCTGGTCTGTAGTTCTAATTGATTCCCAGATTTCCATTTATTGCTCATGACAATTTTGACCTTACATGTTGATCTCGTTTCGTTACTTAAATGAAATACAAGTGCTTTCTGCTTGGGAAGACCTTTGTCCAATTACTTAATGACTGATGAATTTGCGATGTTAAATGTCTTAAGCAAATTGGATTTAGTGTTTTCATTTCGTTCTTTTATCCAATGGTGAAACTTTGCAGATGAGAATTGAATTAAGTTTAGGTGAATTTCAAGCAAATTGTTGAACAGGAGAGTTTGATGGTGCTGACAGGTCATTTCAAATCAGAAAATGACAAACTTTGTTAAGTCACTTCTTTCCAAAACAAATTTTCAACAGATTAGATAGCTTCATGTGCAGTATGGACTCAGGCTTTCTATTTGTTTGATTGCATGAGTTGCCTTCTAAAAGATAAAAGAATTGGCATGGGCCAGATTTAATCCACTCTGACCTTGTGATTTCTGTCGGTACTGATACTTTATCCTTAATTTGTAGCTAATTAAGGGTTAAGGAGTCAGAGTGTTTGACACTGTGAGCTCTTTTCAGAGACTACCAGAGGCAAAGAAATCTGTTGCTCAAAGATATCGTTCTTGCATCTTACTGTTCGAAATTTATTCACTGAAAGCAGTTCTCACTTGGAGCTAAGGTAATATTATGAGATTAGAACCAGAGTCTCAGCCAAATCGTCTTTGTATTTACCTATTGATTTTATGTCGCACACGTTTGAGTAGTTGTGCGTCTGTTAGCAGCTCTGTTGAGCTTAAGGATGTCTTAACTTTTTTTTTTAGCTAAATCCAATTTTGGCTACATTATACTCCTCATGTGACAATTAAAAAAAAATTACTTGGCGAACTGACGATGTTTCATTTGTGTTGATTGATTCTCAGAATTCATTATGCAATATACAGTATATACCCAGTGCTTTCTTTGAGTGTCGGTTTTCACACAGAGAAACAGTTATTCTTTGTTGACAACGCTTGACCTCATGCTAGAATAACTCATTGACTCTAGTAGTTATTAAATTTTTTGAGGGTTTCTTGCACTAGTTAGTGAGGCTATTGTGTAAGTACGGGTTTGCATCAACTTCTCAAACTTCGTAACGTGATCGACCCTCACTTTATCCAGAAAGTGGTGGGTGTAATTTTGTATCTTAACGTAACAATAAATTCTCCTGACTAATTTTCAAATAAATGAAAAGTAGCCAGGAGGGAGAGTTGGGGGTTTGGGAAAACGCCCGAGCAGGAAATATTATTTAAATTCAATTTAACAAATGGGACACCACTAATTAGATCGGAACACTAGAAAGATCAAACTGCATTCTAAATGGATAACTGACCAAAGCATAATTTCATAATTTTAACAAGCAGTAAGCCTTAACTTGGTCCATAGCCAGTCTAAACTCATGCTGGTGGATAATCAACACTAATTCTTGGCATGACCGTTGGATCTCACCATGCATTCTGTAACGAATGTTCTTGATGAAATTTTTAAGTCTTGAATTAGTTTCTAAATGTAGATTATGCTTGTTGGATTGTTAATTGTAAGCTTCACGGGTCGAAGGACCATCACATGCTAAATGGCGTGTTCATTTCTTATCATCTGTGTTCTTTTTGTAGGCTCTGTCTGGAGGTCTAAGCATGGAAGCCTATGTCGCCCTACATCAGGCTGATGAACTGCAAGGAATAATCAGCGAAATCAAGGTTGGTCAGGACACTTGAATGTATTACTTGAAATTTTGATCATGACCTGTACACTGTTCTGTTTTCTAATTCGGCTGGGAAAGCGTTATTCTGTTAATTAATTTTCTTTCCTTGTACTAATTAAAAATTCCCATAGCGGTACTTTCTAAGAGAGATGAGAGTTATTAAAATAAATAGGCGATAATCTCAAACAGGTGTGCGTGTTTGAGTTGGCTGTATGTCACATTTTTGTATTCATGAATAAGTCAAGGAAATTTTATTTTATACGTGACTTGTAAATAGTGCAGTGTCCCTCTACTGTGCTCTAGATTTTATTTCCGATCCTGATATCACTTGTAGGTTTATTTTGTTGTTGGTTATCTTCCTTTTCTCGAAGGTTTTTTTCTTGCCTTTACTGGGTTTTCTTCCTCTGCAAGAACTAACATCTCTAAATGACAGTTTACTTAGTATTAGCTCCGAAGACGATCCGCTTCATGGATGTCCATAGTTGAATTTATATCAATTTCATAATAAGCTTCTTTTAGTGAACGAAACAAAGATTTCACTGTTCATAACATTTGCATGGTACTAGCAGGATTGCTTTGTCAGAAAATGTTTGCAGTTCCCTGTCTCTGTAATATTGCAAATAGTAAAGAGTACATGATCTTGCAAGTATTTTTTGTCCTCTGTCATTTATTTGCAGGGAGAGCTCAAACTGCTTCATGATGAAAATGATATGTTACGTGAACAAGTCGTTAGTTTGGCAAATCAACAGACTTCCGGAGAAGCTACTGAGAACAGTAGCACTGAGTCATCTGAGAGACTGGAGAACATCTGCCGACTGTACAGACCCAGGCAAGGTAAAATGATCACAAAGAGCTATAGCCGGTTTTGTATCTTAAAATCCGATAGATTAAAAATAGGTTAAGTCACAGCTCAGAGGATTCTAGAAATTTTAAAGACGAGACAACCACGATTACTTTAAGTTATGTTCAAAAGATGCTCTTTGGGAAACTCAAGTTACATGGCCATGAACTCCTGAAGTCATTTGTGAATAACGCTTTTTCGATGAGCCACTGAATTTCCAGCATTATGAAATGTTCAGTAGTTTGTTATAGTTGATTTTCTTATTGAGTCGGTTAACTGTGTAATGCTTAATCATCTGTAACCTCTGAAACAGGAAACACACTGAAAGTAAATATGTTGGCACTCTATAAGTAGAAGGATACAATGGCAGTAATGTAAACTGTGTGCATCCTCGCCCTACCTTCCAAAAAAAAACACATTATGAAGGGGCTCCTTACCAATGCCTTTTTTTCTGAGGGAAGGGGGCGGCTTCACACAGGCTGATAAAAATTATGATAAAAAATTGTGATCAAAATGTTTTATCTAGTTGATACAGATGACGAGGAACCAGTTGAAATAGATGTGTGTCTCAGAGGATTTTCTGCTGTCCCCCTTGGTCATGTTTCCTCCAAGGTGCATATTTATTGTCAGTTATACTCAATGAACTCACCATGAATTTTTTAAAATTTTTATTTTTCTCTTTTGCAACAAAATAGTTCATGGCTAGTTCTTTTTCGGTTCAGTTTCGTTTGATATAATGTTCTATTTTACATACAAAGAAAAAGGACATCCACTTGGGAACTGTGACAGTAAACGGAGCAGACTGGAACGGAGTGATGGAAGCTGCGAAGAAAACCTTTGTGGTAAGTGGTACAGCTGCCAGGAACTATTTTGCCATGTACTAATTAAATTTTGTTCAGTTTGCAATCATATATATGACGTGAGAATCAATTCATACTTATCTTCCACAGGTCATTTTAATTCAATTTTTAAATTCAGGTGACAACTGGTATTCTCCCCAAGCCTCTTCTACCGTCGCCTCAAAGAAATTTTTATTTCGATGTCTGTCGCTCCGCTAGGTTTAATCTTTTTTCATTTGATAAAGATAGAAAAAGAGTGTTGAAGCAAAATTTTATTTCTAGAAAAAAGGAAACAGAAAACAAGGAAAATAAATCGAAGTGCCATTTTAGGGTGTCGACGTCACTGATCACACCTCAGTGAGGTAGTGATACATTTGCTTGTCGAGTCACTGTAGTAACTAGTTTTTATGCTTCGTGTATCCAACTAGTTTAGCTAATGTGACAATCTAATATGCAATTATGTTGTTAGATACGAATATAAGTGGTGAAATTCTGAGTATCTCTTTGCTTGCAGGATCACATGAAGAAAATCGACCCAGAGGACTACTTGTGTCTCGGAGCCCACAGCATCCAAGGTGTTCAAACAGGGGTTGTTGTCTGGAGTCCAGGTATCATAACAACTCTTTCTCTATTGTCTAAATTCTAATAGCCAGTAAACAACTGTTCCTTCTGCCTCACTTTAAAGAAGCCAAATTCCTACAGTAGTTTCCCCGATAGTCAACAACTGATGTCCCAGGTTTCTCTTAGTGCTACTGTGTGTTTACCTTGACGGAGTAGGAGGGCTCGAGGTCATGACAACTTAACTTAAACCCTATTCCTACCAAGGCTTATACATGTTTTGCAGCTGTTTTGTTAAATACGGTCTAAAATTGTTTTCTTCTTAGAAGCCGTTTAAAGTAATGTTTGTTGACTTCTATTTTAGCACTTTGAAAATACTGACAAGCTAGTGACTCCTTGACTGCGAAGGAAAATTCAGTTTGTCAGTTTTCTGTTGCTGATTTTCATTCCGTTAAGCCTGATTTAACTAAACGTTTTTCGCAGGCGTGAATGGGGTATTAGTGAATAAGCGTGTTTAAATATGAACGCCTCTGTTTATTCCTTCTTTCTTGCTTCTTGCCTTTCGCCATGCCACGCTCAGGGCCGTACGTCTCTTTACGGCGCCGCCCTTACGCTCGCGTAAGGTGTAAAGTTCAATATTTAATATAAGCTCTTTCGGGACGTCACAGTTCATATGGTGATAGTTAATATCAACCAACGACAGAAAGTGTGCGTGATTGGCCTTTTGGTCGATTCTTTAAGGTGATTAAGGAGAATTATGTGATTTTTTTTAGGTTCTCAGCGGAGAAGGTCTCCTCGTGTAGAGTTGTCAAACAAAAGCAGTCCATGTGTTATCCAGCTCAAAGGCAAGTAGTTGTATTGTTTTCTGTCTTTACCTAATTTTACAGGTGGGTTCTTTGCCTGTGATCCCGGTGGAAATCCATGTTTTTTTTGTTGTTTTTTTTCAAACTCTTAACTCTACGGAACGTTTGATATCAGTGATCGGTATGAACTGCATACGTAAAAAGTGCTTTTCTTGCACGCTGATTGGCTGGTTCGGAAGTGATTAGCGAGTAATGTTCACTTTCGAGGAGCGTAAGAGATAAAATTACGCGTCAAGAGTTCTAATTTCCTACCATTATTTGGTGTGTAAACAGAAATAAACTAATTTTTTCGCGTCTGTTTGGTGTGTACGAAAGCGAATATTCTCGACTATGTCCATTTCCGCCACTATTTACCTCCACTTCTGTGAATTGTTGCTGGATATAAAAACAGAATCTTCTTTGTTGATATTAATTTCAGTCTTGAGTTGTTGCTAATTTCTTTTTTATTCACTGCTCTGCCTACAGATGGAAGCCAGTTCTCTTGTGATTCTCTTGTTTATGACACTCTGCTTCCGAAAGAGATCATGGAGGTGAGATTTAGGGATCTGTCACTGTTGTCATTATAATTCATTTTACTCTTTAACCCCCAAGAGTGACCGGCATCTAATTTCTCCTCACAAGATCACCCTGAATAAAACATTAGGGTCATGAGAATAAGGGAAATGATCAACAACTAAAGAAGCTCTTGATTGATTAACAAATTCTCCTCTTCAGAACCTTAAGAAATATGTAAAGAAAGTATGGAGAATATGCATACTGGAATGTAAGGGGCTAACTCCCAAGATCTGATTGGTAATTCTCTCCGCTAGCTGAGAGGCTGGGGTTAGATCAAGATAACAACTTTTACTTAATAAGTTGTAATATTCTCATTACCAGTTGGCAGGAGGATGTATGGATATTATAGGGAGAAGTTACACTTTGATCACTTTTGAGATTTAAGGAGTAATCAATATGTCAATATGCAACTTCTGTTTGATGGAAAGTTCTTTGATTTTCACAGAATTATGTAGAGCAGCTACTGGAACACAGATGTATAGTCCTGTGTGGACAACAAGGGCTAGGAAAATCATACTTGGCTTCCAAATTGGCTGAACATGTCGTTCAAAGGCAAGTGAATTTTCTTAAAAACCTGCAAACGCTGTTATCTATTGGCTTACACAATATTTTTTCTTTGTGTGAGGTCTCTATCATGTGAAGAATATGAATTTGTTTTCGCCTGAATGAATCATTTTAACTCGACTAGTTAACAAGCAGTGATGAACTCGTACATGTTGATGCATGGAGAGTGATGACGGAGAAGGGGGGGGGGGTGCACGGAGGGTGATGACGGGGGGGGGGGTTGATTTTATTTCCGTGAGAGTTTTTGACAAGGTTTTATTCACCTTATGTAGGATTGGATGGAAGACATCCCCTGCGGTAGTTACCTTCAATGTCACCCAGACAACTCGAAAGGTAAGCAGACCTGATTTTTTTCTTTCTTTCTTTTTATCCTCTTTCTGGATTTCTTGGAATTCTTGAATTTTCTTCATTCTCATTCCACCATTCTATTTAATTTTTTTAAAGTGATTTATCTAACCTATTTTAATGCGAGGAGATGATTTTACCTATGTTACTAGCCAGTGTTCAACTTATTACTGTGTCTTTCTAGGAATTAAAACAAGGGCTTGCCCCTCTGATGGAGGTCGACATCTCGGGGTATGTTCTGTTCCTGGTAATCCAAATTTATCAATAGTCAGTAAGCTGAGGGTCTATGTGTATGGTCGGCGTTACTCTGGTGATTTCTTTAGTTGAATATCAATTTAACAAAGTTAACCGCCGTGAGCTTAACGGGCGCTCCGATTCAGTGGTCATTTTTGAAAGTGCAGGCTACATGGACCGTCCCAATTTCGTTTCAGCTAACTTGCTTTTTATGAATTTTTGATGTTTCTGAAGACGATAAAGTTAGACTCCACTATTACAAGAAAAAACTTCATTTACTTGGAATTTTTGCGAGATATTGCAGAGATTTCCTTTTTCGACACTCGCCTTGACGGAAAACTTTAATTGTTGTCTTTTTAACAGTTCTAATGTGGACAAGCCAGCTGTCATAATACTGGATCAGTTAAATTGCTTGGCTTCCCTGGCTGATACTTTTGACTTCTCACAGCTCGAGAAAAACAGCAATTGGTAAGTAGTATTATGGGACATGTAATGCCAAAAGCCCCTTGGTCATGGTTTGCCATGATCAATCCTTTTCCCCCGCAGAGTCCGAAGAGCGAACTAAAAAAAAAGAACAAACAAAATGAGCGAAAAAAAAAAAAGACTTGCGCCGACAATTTGTTTGACGCCAATTTCTATCGAACTTTCTATCGTTGAGACGTGTTTTGTTGTGGTGATTTTCACTTTATAATTTTGTTATCATGATTATGTCGTGTTCGTTGCAGTCCTTACATAATTGGTGTTCGAGACAAAAGCAGAAAAGGACCTTTCTCTTCAAAAGAGCTGAGTCTGTGTCATTACTTTAGGTGGGTGTAGCTGAGTATGGTTGACGAAACCATTTGGTTAGTCGGCTGCCATTGAGGAAGACTGGCAATTTTTTTGACATTCTGCTAGTGTTTGTCTATCTGTCAGTGTCTATCAGTCTGCTAGTGTTTTTTTATCTGTCAGTGTCTATCAGTCTGCTAGTGTTTTTTTTATCTGTCAGTGTCTATCAGTCTGCTAGTGTTTTTTTTATCTGTCAGTGTCTATCAGTCTGCTAGTGTTTGTCTATCTGTCAGTGTCTATCAGTCTGCTAGTGTTTTTTTATCTGTCAGTGTCTATCAGTCTGCTAGTGTTTGTCTATCTGTCAGTGTCTATCAGTCTGCTAGTGTTTTTTTTATCTGTCAGTGTCTATCAGTCTGCTATTGTTTGTCTGTCTGTCAGTGTCTATCAGTCTGCTAGTGTTTTTTTATCTGTCAGTGTCTATCAGTCTGCTAGTGTTTTTCTATCAGTCAGTGGCTGTCGTTCTCAACTGTTTCCCTGTCCAGTTTTCGTTCTTTCTAGTAAACTGACCTGTAAGTGTTTACTGCTACATGTCAGGTGGCTACGAGTGTCGGTAAACGACAGACAGTACAGCGGTGTTCTCAGCAGATTCTTGAGGCGTAAACTCAGTTGGAGTGAGTTGGAAACCAAGTAAGTGCCCCTACACTTATTTTCTGGCCGAACTCTACAGTCACTTGACAATTTGCACTGATCCGTTATGTTCTTTTTTCGGTCAGTGTTGAAGGTGACGATCTGCTAGAGTTATTTGATTGGCTGTCCAAAGTGTGGTACCATCTGAATGAGATTCTGGAAGACTTTTGTGATTCCGACGCTACATTAGGTATTTTACGCCTGACTTTGTAAGAATTTCTTATGTAAATAAGCATATTTCGTGAGTATGTGTGGAGGCAATCTCAAGTTTGAGTTCGTCTTTCGTTCCCAATAAATTTCCTAAGGATATCTCTTTTTCCAGGTCCCTCGTTGTTTTACTCGTGTCCAATGGACTTTAAAGTTGCAGAGGGTTGGTTCGTTAATGTGTGGAACTATAATGTGATCCCATACCTACATCAGACTCTTCGGAGTGGAAGGAAGGTATTTCATGGTGTTTTTTTCCTGTTCGACTTTTGTTGTTATTTCTAGTCGCTCAGCAGCCATCTTTGAGGTTCGTTGCGTAGCACGCTCCCATCTCTCCTGGGACGTTTGTGTGAGTTTGAGATTATAATTACATTAAGTTGCCAATAAATGATGACAGGGGTTAGAAATTTTATTACAAAGAAATTCCACAAACATGGATACCCATGATCAGGAAAGCCGTATAACAGCGGATCGCTGAGAAATTTTCGAAATGCATCAATTAAAACAACTGAAAACCATCCACTCAAAGCGGAGCATGAGCCTTTACAGGTTGCACGCAGAGTCCACCCCATCGCCTGAAGAAGTGGCTATCCTGAGACAAGCGATTAAACCTCGTTACTAGTGTACTTAGTAACATGAGTAACCGCAACCTTAAATACGAGATGATACTTAAATGTTTTGCCTTGATTGACAGATCTTTGATCGATGTGTCAGTTGGGAGGACCCAACGAAGTGGGTGGTTCTTAGATACCCATGGAATAAGGACCACAGCAGGGTCTTTCACACGCTTCGTAAACTACGCCAAGTAGATGTGGTCCTCAATAGGAACCAACTTGGATCAGATAATGGTGAGGAGACTTTTATTTATGGAGAAGCAGTTTATTCTGGTGTTTTTCATCCCCTTTCCAAGTGCAATAGTCAATGCTGTGTAGTTATAAAGACTTCTTACGTTTTTGAAGCACATAATTTCCTCTTTGTTCGACGCTGTCGGTTTTGTTTGTTGTTTGTGATATAAGATTTTGATGAAGGACAGAGTGACTTTAATAGCTCAGACTGGTTTTTTCTCGGTAACATCGCAACTGGACGTCCTAAGTAATCGTACCCCTCTATAACCTTTAAATAAGTGCCCGCTTTTTAACGTTGTAAAAAAAAATTGCCTCCGAGTATTTCTCGAGGCTTATCGTTTCGAAAACTTGTAAACATGCCAAAAGGGCAAAATAGCAAGTAGACAAAACAAAACTGAGCTAAAGAAAAAAAAAAGGAACAAAAAGTAGAGAAAAACAGGACCAAGAAGCAAAGTAAACGGAACAGAGAGCTTCCTCTTTATCCGAGTATTAAATCTATTTTTCGTCATTAGACAGGTTGAACTTTCCAGAGAAATTACGGGCTCGATTTTAAGTAACTGGATTATTTTAATTTCTCAGTTACTTTTGCTGAGTGCATCGAAGACAATGAGAAAATTCTTCGCGCCCATTCCAGTGTGTCAAAAAGAGTTCGCACTGTTGTTCAGGAAAAAATTCCGAAGGTAACGTCGTGTTCATATTTAAGAGCTCGCAATTTCACGGCCACCCATCAAATGCACTGCAAATCACAGCACCGCAATGTTTAAAATTCAAAGCATCACAGCTGCAGAAGCAACATTTTAAAATATTATTGCTTAAGTTAAAAAAGCTCTCTTAGCCGCAACATCCATCATTTTAAAAGCTTGCAGTTCCGCATGGCTATCTGTCTTTCTTTTAAGCCTTTAATCGCGGATTATATGTGTAAGCTTGTTAAGACGCTAAGTAAAATTTCTTGCAGATTACCGCCTTTAACTGATGAAAATAATGGTAGCTAAGATGACAATTAAAAACACTCTTTCCCTGTTTCTTGCAGGGAGAACTTAAAACAAAGCGAAGAACCGCTGAACGGAGAGGTAGTCACGGAGAAGATAACGATAGAGAATCTTCTTATTCAGAATCTGACAGCTATATGGAAACTAGCATTTGAGACAAAAGAAATTCCATGCATTGTTTACTTACGACGTTATCGCTTTGGTCCCTTTTGTATCAAACCGACGACACCTTTGTCGTAAGACTTGAACATTTCCCTTTGGCCAACAAGTTTCTCAGAATTGGTTTAACTACCAAGCGTACACAGACAACTTGGGATACGTAAGTTGTCCAAGACAGTAGTCGCTAGTCGCTTTGGATTCTTGCGATCCTTGGGGTATTTATTCTTTTTTGGTTAAATGATACCCCTCTCCCTCCCTCCCTCCCCCCCCCCCCTCCTTAATAAAACCTGTGTGTGGCTTTTTATATTAGATCAAAAAAAGTTTCAGAAAATCGAACTGACTATTTTATTACGCATATACGAAAAAACGTGCTATTTTATAAATAACCTGTTAATAGGATAGTTAAACAACATTTAACTGAACAAACCATATAACTTATATAAACCAGTTTTAAGATTTTTGCACACTTTTACCGAAGAAGAGTTTGTAATCGTCATTAATTTTAGATGTGATTTTTCCAAGGTATTCATTTTGCCAATTCTGAATGTTAATCGGTTATCTTAGTTAACGCAAGGTCTTGTAAAAAGTAAGCAACAGGCCATTTGGAAAATTGATAATTTTGGTCATTTAAACACCAATTCGTATAATAACCTTACCATTTATGCATGTTACAAAATGTTACTTTGTAAACCGCCAGGTGGAAAGTATTTTTGAATTTACCAAGGTTAACTTTGTCCTTTAATTCAAGCATCTTCATCTCGCATTTCATATGCTAACATGGAACTGTATACTTCACCGTTTTAATCCTTTTAACCCTAGGAGTGACCAGCATCTAGTTTCTCCTTACAGTATTGATGCTGAATCGTTCAATTAAGGTCATGAGAATAAAGGAAGTGATTGACAACCTAATAAGCTTTGATTGTTGAACGAATTCTCCTTGTGAGTACTAAAATGAAATGTATAGAGAAGAGTATGGAAAATATCATTACTTCGGTTAGGGTGGACAGGGTTAAAGAATTCAGCAGTGGCGAATCCATGAAGTTTCTTTTTGTTCACTTACTTCACTGAGATACAACAGGGAGGAGCGTTTGCTGTGGAGGTAAGAAAAGGCGAGAAAAGACCCTCGAAACAAGTACAATTTCTAACTTAGAAATCCACCCTCACGGGACTTCGACTTTGCGATCTAAACTCGGGGGCCACAGCAGTGGGACACGTTTGCCCTCTAGCTTCTGCATCCTTGGTTCCCACTCGCGTGTGCGCTCACTCAGTAGAGTGAGGATTTTACAGAGTGGTGCATGCTGTGACTAACTAGCATATGGGGTGAGCAAGTGTTCCTTGCGGTTACGTTGGTGTGATCTTTCTGATAGGAAGTGAGCAAAACAATCGTGGGAGCCGTATTTATTCAAATTTTCTAATGACTGCAGCAGTTGGACGGAAAAGCTTTCAAGTTCCCCAGCTGCAGTTTTAATGTTAGAGTGTCGTTCATAAAATTTTTAGTGTTCAAAATAACTTTCTTCCCATGGTGATCTGTTTTGTTTTGCTTGTTGCATGCATGTGAATGGGGCCCACTGAAAAGATTCTCTCTCACTTAGTCACTCTTCGACCTCTTCAAGTACTTTGGATTTCGTCTGGTCTGGTGCCCTAACACTGAGCTTTTTTTGCCCGACTCTTTAGCCTACCTAAAAAAAACCGCAGGGTTTAAAACAAAAACGTTCTATCTTCAGATTATAACTGCCCAGATAGAACTGACTATTAAAAAGACATAACCGGTGAAAAAAAAGCTCAGTTTTCAAATGACAACAGCCTTAACAGGACCCACTACCTATGAGGCAACCAGGTAAACAAAAAGGACAAAGTGGATAAGTTCTACCTTCAGATAAAAATAGCCCAGAGAGGACTGACCACAGAAGACAGAATCGCTTGCATTAATATCGCAACAAGTCCTCCCTCGATTCCTCTCTGATCTCGGCTTAACCGCCACTTCTGGAAAAATTCTTAAGGAAAAGCCAAGCGGCCTCTCAAGTTCCTTAGTCTTACGGATAAACTTTTCCCACTGTTGGCCGCGGCGGCTTATAACATGTTTTAAAGAATCGCTTCCCGCTGAGGGCATTAAATCTCTCGCAAATAGTGTTGCACCAATTCCTTTCTCCCTTAACCGTCACTTAAGAAAAACCTCGGCCTCCCCGGTTTCTCTTAAACTTAGAGGGAAAATGCTAAAGGGCTTTTAGATTTCTCTAAAGAAAGGAAATAGTTTTCCTTTTTCGGCGGCGGCTTCGCTCAAAAAGCTTCACTTGCTGCCAAAGGCAGTGAGCCCGTTGCGAATGGTTTGGAACACAGCCAACACCTTTGTTAATATCAACAACAACAAGCCCATTACTTCGTACACGCGCGAGTTGCATGTGCGTGAGTTATCATACACGCGCGAGTTAAGCGTGAGTAACTGGAAAGGGGATATCTCGATCAGGTGGCTAAAGTGGACACTATACTGTACTCCAGCCTTTTTTCATGATGGCACAATTAGCTAGATTTGCCTTACTTTTGATTGCTTATTGGGGTCTTGATACTTCGTGTGGCAGTGAGAAGGATATCAGCGAGGAGGATTACTACAAAAGTAAGTCTTAAACCAATCCCCTGATGTGCAAATATTTAGGTCACTGACGTCCAAAATCACTCACCACAGTAGAAGATGTTGCGCAAGGTCAGGTTTACTCGGCTTCTTCTCCCAAGAGTTCTTACGAAATTTTAAATCTCTCAAATAACAAAAAAGGTGCTGTAGTGGTTTCATTTCACCTTCTTGAGCATTCACGTCATTATATCCACTGTTTCTAGATTCTAGAAACTCGATGTGCAACACACACTAAACAAACGCGCCATGTTAAAAAAAGATCAATTGTTTAATGACCTGCATATTTGAACGTACACTGACCCAAGGGCACCATAAGCTGTTTCAAGAAATCAGCTTTAGGCATATTAACCGCCTGTAATGCAATGAAAATAGTTTCCTGGTATTTTCAGACGAAAGGATATTTACATCAGATGCATATTTCGTCCATCAAACGACCATAGCCTCTGTAAATATGGCAATCGTGAAAACAACGACAATTTTGTCTTTTGTTCTCTTCGCCGTCAGGATTTCAAAACATTCCACCCGCTGCTGAAACGGCAAAGAAGCTCTACAAGAACTTCTTCGGAGGGGAAGCCAGGAAAATCCAAAAACGACAGATCCTGGGAAATTTTTTTGACGTAATTGTTGTCGTTGATTCATCCAGCTCCGTTAGCAGTGGAGAATTCCTGAAAGGATTGAGAGCTTTGCGAGATCTTGTGGGAAAATCACGAAATGACACAGTCTATGCCGCCGTTACCTATGCAACTCGTGCCAAAATTGAGTTCAACTTCGCTTCGCGTTTCATCGCAGATGAAAAAATTGGCGCCATTAGGCGCACCGGCGGAAAAACTAACACTCAGGCTGCGCTCAAACTTTGCAAAAGGATGTATGTTGAAGCTCAATATGGCGCCCGGCAAGGAAGCTTTCACAGAATTCTTATCGTCACAGATGGCCAGTCCAACATCAAGAGGAACGAAACCATTCCCAGTGCGTTTGAACTTAAACTGATGGGAATTGAAATATTTGTAATCGCCGTAGGAGAATACCTTGAGGGGATCAAAGAATTGGTACAGATGGCAAGTTCATCTGATGCTCACATGTACCGTGTATTAAATATGAGTGGACTAGTGCAGATGATTAAGCTTATTCCTGATCAGACAGGGAGAAAAACATGGATTGAAGAAAATTTTGGACAATCTGAGGGAGACGACGAGGAATCAAGTCCGTTAGGAAGACTTTAATCCCAAAAGTCGGATGTACTGACGTTCGAGACCGGTCATTATTCATCTCCTTAGGGGGGGAAGGGTGTGGAGGATTTTCGTTGAGTCAAGATAAAATTAACCTAATCCCCCTATAAGGCTTTTTGGCATCACATGATCTCCTCTCACAGGCATTTAATTGGCAGTCAATTTTCTATAGCTCCTATTTATATTCTGTTGGCGATGATAGATTCCCCACCCTGCTCTCCCTGAAAACCATGTGATCCCCTAAAATCATCCGCCCTCTTCTCCCTTCCTTAGTTGATAAACAGTGATTGGTTCGTCAGTATGAGACGTAAATACATGTTTATGTTTTTTGTGTATGAATTACAGCCTCAGAGAGTAATATTAAGTTCTGTGGGGATGTGATTATGGGTTTTCTAGAAAAAAAATTTTATATCTGGTATTATTATATAACGACTAAGAAAACAGAGGGAATGTTACCTTTTACTTAAGGATCTTAAAGACGTTATATCGGCTAATGCAGTGAAAAAGATTAGCATATGATAAATTAAATATAAACTAAAAACAAAAATGTTCTCTTGATTGCAGTCATTAGGAAATAAAACCAGAGTGGTTTCATCTTGAACTTATGAAACACTTTCAAAAGTTTGCAAAAGGCCTCACGATAGGACATAAATAACATAAACATTTCATTTCACTGATGTTCTCACAACACCAACCGAATTAAATTGTGAATCAAACAAATAAACAAAAAAAACCAGGTAAAAAATTACAAACAAATATAAAACAAAACAAAAACAGGCATCTAAAGAAGCAGACAAGTTGCCAAAGAGTCACCAACAGACCAATGTTCTAATAACCAAAAAGGACTATGATGACCTTTTCAAGTAACATTTAAGAACATGCATTTATCATTCATGAAGGATATGAAAACACGTTATTGCCTTCCAAGCATGACTGCTTGCCTTATTCTCCTGACTTCTGATTCCCAGCTCCGTCTGTAACTGACCGGTGTTATGAGTTTGACAACTTCAACGAGACCTTGCATGTCACCAGCTCTGTATAAATGTGCATCCAATGAACTAGCCAGGTGCACCAATTCATGAATTCCATCCAAGTATTCTCCTACTCCAATCACAAAGATCTCTGCTCCATTGAGCTTCAGGTCCATGGCATTCAAGAGCGTTTTGTTCCGTTTCACGTTGGACTGTCCATCAGTCACAACCAGAACGCGTCTAAAACTTCCGGCTCGGGCTCCGCTGCTAAGATTTTGAAACATTCGTAAGCTTTTCTCTAACGCCTCTTGCATGTTTGTTTTTCCACCGGTTCTTTGCAGTTTCTCCAGTTTCTCATTGGCTTTTTCAACGGAAGTAAATGTGAAGACAGGGTGTGCCTTATTGGCTACTGTAATAGCCGCGTGTAACGAGTCACGTGCACCCTTGTCAATCAACATTTGAATGGCTTTGATGCCCTTTCGGAATTCAGCCCTGCTGATCGAGCTGGAAGAGTCGATGATGTAAATGATATCATAGTGGCCACGTAGTTGTCTTTTGAGGCGAGAAGCGTCTGTTTGCGCCAAAAAGTGCATTTGAAGCTTCTTGCTTGTGGTTCTTGCTGACGGAATGTGCTGAAATTCTTGAACGAGAAAGTAAAATTTTTTTAGATATCTGGAGGGGTGTATGAAGTTCTTTGCTGTTAGGAAACAGTTATCTGTCATACTAAAGAATATCTGGTGCTTCTTTAAGTTGCATTTACATGAATTTTGTCCTTAGAAATCTTAGAAAAATTGATTCATATGGACAATCAAGCGATTAATTATTCTCTGCCATTTTTGACTCTGAAGATCGTTATTCTTCCGTCTCTGGACATTTTGAAAAGAGAGATGCATGATACATGATTTAGAAAACGACTGATTGTCTTATTCCAGAAGTTTATCAATTTTATGAATAATTTTTTGGTTTCCAGCAAGCACGTACATTAATGAAAATCAGGTGATAATGTGAAACGTGCTATTTATCAATGAGTTTTTTTGATCAGTACGAGAAATGAACACAAATAGCTATGAGAGTAAATTTTCCCTGAGCTTTAAAGAACTTTGATGTTAGTATGACGGTAATAATCACTTAACTCAGAAATGTATGTGCATATCATGTTTTATTTTTTCAACAGAATGTGTCTTTACCTATCAAGCATATGGCCAGTCATATTGTAGTATAGGTTACTCCGCAGTAAACACATGCATTTTTGTGTGGTGTGACATTTTAATATCAAAAACGTGGTTGATTGTGACAGTCTCTCCTGTTCCAGATTAATTATCAAAATAACTCTGGAATGACATAAAGTCAAATTAACATGTAGAATTTTTTTTGAGACCTTAACATGAAGAACCACTCATTATTTATTGCCAGAAGAGGGGAAGAGGGGCGGATGATTTTTTTTTGTGGGGGGGGGGTCTAATGGTTATCGGGGGGGGGGGTATCAGTCATAGCCAACAATGTATAAAGGGGAAACGTGACTATGAAAAATTAACTGCCAATGAACTTCTATTGAGGGGGGATCACAAGAATATTAAACCAAAACTCTCCAACCTCCCCCCCCCTCTCCCCCGCGCGCTCCTCCACGCGATAAATGATGGCTGGTCTCCAAAAGCCAGAGTAAAATTTGAACCCAAACATTCAAATGCACAGATGCTGGAGTAAACATATGTATCAGGTAAAATTTAGAGTTATCTATATCGCTTGTCTCCTTTTCTTCTGTCTTCGCGCTTGCACACGCGGATTTTTTTGTTTAATTAAAAAGACGGAAAGCTCTGAGAAATGAATGCCCGTGATAGATGAAAGGTCACACATGTTAACACGCGATATAATTGAACGTCTCTACTCTGAACATGTCTTGTTTCTCAATTAGATCTGCAGAGACATTGAGTTAACTACTGTTTTGGTGATATAGGCTGCGTAAAAGCTGAAAATATTTGTTGAATTTATGAGCTTAACTACAGAGATATGTATTCGTATCAGGCAGACTCTAACACGTTTTCGGAGTTTTTTACTTTAAGTAAAGACATCCTTTTTCGAAAGATCATTTTCACCTGATGAAACATCGCTAGCTTAAGAAAGTTGGCCTATACTTGAATTGATTCTAAGGGGCACAGGTAAAGCTTGCTGATAGCGGAGAAATAGCTTTTCTAGTTTGTATTTCAGCCTCCTTAAGGAGGGCCCCTCAAGAGGGCCCCTCTGTTAGATAGATAATAGAGGAGTCATTTTTTATGTGGAAAAAACAAAAAAACTAAAAATTATCGTTCCTGAAAAGAGATCTTTTCATCAATAGTTATAGAAATAATCACTAAGTTTGTCAAGGCTTGGGTGAATAAATCTTTGCCAATTTGTTTTTATTAGGCAGCGCTTTTTTTTCTTGGGGTATCTCTTGTGTGAGAGGAAAGATTTAGAGTGGCACCATTTACCATAAGCTTCCTCTCGGAAGGTTTGCTCAAACGTTGATCGATACAAGAAAACATTAAGTCAATGAGTATCGCGATGAAATCAGACTTGTAAACTCGTCAACTTTGTAATCAATATTGCGTCTGTTTAGAGAGAAAAAAAATTCAACTAGGATTGTAAGTGTTTTCAATCGTTCTGTATGTAGAGTTAAAAAAGACTCTGTCGTAGATATACCAAAATTATGGTTTTTGAACCATTTCTTTGGCGAAAACATCGCTATTTTAGAAATTGAGATATAACACGATTCTAGTTTAGGGCCTGGCAACATCTAGGGTTCATATCTAGGAAGAAGTTCAAGCACATTCCATTGATAAGAAAGTTAACATACACAAGCAACCTACTGTTGTAATCCTCCAAGAGCCTTCTGTCATTCTGAAAATCACTGAATACCGTAATAACAAGTACTTGAAATACAACCCACAAAAGTCGAAGAAAACGGGACATTTTTTCTGCTCAGTTGTAGAACTCAGGGTGTTCACCAGATGACTCTTAGCATGCATAAGAAATACCACAGATACCCAGAATGGAGTCTTTAATATCAATATTAGTGTCACTTTATTTATTTACGTCTCCCTTGACTCAGTCGTCTTTGATACAGGTCGCCGTAAGCCGTGTTTTGTTTCAGAAGAGGATCTGTTTTGCACCGAGCTTTCACTAGTAGCTAATCCAGCTTGTCTTTCTGCCAACCTGTTAAGTTTTTGCCGGCCGTTTCATCAATGTTGTTAAACTCTTCTCAGCTTTTTCTAATTGAAAACGTTGTCGAGATCGCTGTTTCTCTGGCCAGTGGCTCAATTTTTTCAGAGATAAGGACTCGTTTGTTATCCTCTTGGCGATATGCCACTTCGTGATTGCCAGCTGTCACCGCGGGATTGTGCTGGTAAGAGGATTATTTAATTTGTGATAAGAGTAATATTAAGTCATGAAGATCTTGTCGTGACCGGGCTCAGGAGCTATTTCGACACTTTTGCCAAAAGTGATAAATGGCATATTTTTTAAAAATGAATTCAAAGTCCAGAAAATTTGGAATTGAGCTTTGGAACGGTGAAAACAGACACGCAATTAAAAAAGGAAAGAGAGAAATCATTCAGACAAAATAATCAAGCAAAGAAGGTTGAATCTGAAACAGATGCATCACACAGAAACGTGCACAAAAGCAAGAGTTTACAGATATAACAAATAAAAAACTCACTGGCGCATAAAGTAGAACATAATTTCTACAGCTGGAATACACAAAAACTTACAAAAGGTGCATACGTTAACAACAAACAGAAAAAAAACAAAAGTAAATTCTATATCGTAATCGAACTTCCATGTTCACCTGCGTAGCCGACTCACAGAGGGAAGGAGTGACGAGAAAGCAGCCGGTGGAGCGGCTTTGTCCTTGTGCTCTCGAATTCCATTTTCCTTAGTTTCCTTTCCCTTTCCGTTTTCTTTTCCCGGGCCATGTCCATGTTGGGGTAGAGAGGCCTGAGTGATAGGTTAGCAACTTAGTGTGCAAGGATTAGGAGTTTCATTTAATTTAAATCAAAACTTTCCTTGCAGATATCTCTACAATAGAGAGACAGTGTTTTGAAACAGTTCACTGCATGAAAAGAAACACGGTGTACAGGGCTTATTCCTTAATAATATTTGGTCCTCTCAAATTTCTTATCTCCCAATACCTGGAACACACGCGGACTCCATCTGTATTTAATTTCCTTGAAATCATATGTTAGCAACTTTTTTTTTTAATCACGCGCAATCCTGAAATGATTGTGAGATGCAAGATTGTGGAGGGGGACAGGAGGGCGGTTTCCCGGGAGAACAGGGGGCGGAAGAGGGTTTGAAGCGGGAGAACAGGGGCGGGAAGCGGGATCTATACGAGGGCGGGAAGCGGGAGCAGAAATAAAGAGGGCGATAATTTTTTTTATTACTGGGTATTATTTAGTCAAAAACACTTATCTAGCAGAGTCTTGAAATTTCCATTTAACATCCACTAATGCTTACAAGAAAATTTTGGAAGCAAGAAAACGTAAATTTGTACTCGGGCTGGAAAAACAGCATTACCTCCGGTGAATTTGGAAATCCCTTCGATTCGATTACGTCATAGGTCATGAGATAGCATGAAACATGACACATGTACACCTATACTTCAGTGTCTAGTAACCTGAAGCTGTCGAAAATCTCCAGCAAAGAAAGCGATTCAGGTCACAATACACACAATACCATTAATCATTTCAAAACCCTAAAGAAATCCTCATGAGCAACTGTCATTACACAGCAAAAACCACTGCTAAGAGAAATGTTCAAAGAACCGCTCATAGTATCATACAGAAAGGGGCGTCCACTCAAAGACATACCGGTGAGAGCGAAATTAGAACGAAAGCAAGGAAACCGACATACTTTGGAGTTGTGCGAGCCTTTTAACACTTAAAACAAATATACAGAAAACTTGACTTACTACAAAGTCGTGTAGGCTTGTCAGCCCCAATTTACGCTCGATTATTAAACGGGCGCTTTGAACTCTCTGAGGAAACATTCTGCAAGATGCTTTTAGATTACCGGGGCGAATGTGATTTGAAAACAAATGAAATTGAAGAAAATCAAGAAGTTATCTTGACTCGGGGGAAGAAGAGGTTCTAACCAAACTTTGGAGTTGGAAGAGTTCAGTGTGGTCTTCCCGGTGCATGGAAGACTTCTTCTAACTTTAAAACTTTCCGCGGAGGTTTAAAGAAGATTTCAACCTATCGGACAAATCTGATAATCAGCCGAACAAGAATGTTCAATCATGCTTCACTAGCACTTAAACTGAACGCTCAAAATGCAAACGGTTCAACGACAGATATGCAGTGATTTAAATCATCCTTTGGAGTCAACTTTTTTTATTCGCTCTCGAGTAGCTAACTATCCTGTTTCTGTCGCTTAAGCGGGCCACCACTGCATTAATTAAATTGATAGACAGCATCACAAACGTCACAGGAGAAAAATACCGATCGAATCCCATTTACCCTAACATTTCACCATCACAATCACGCAGTTGAATCCATCAATCTTAAAACTTTAAATTGCTTCAAAATGATCCCGAAACTGATACTTTTTTTTTCGCAACCTTCATTGATATCATTCAAACGCGACAAAGACATGGGCAATTTTTTTTATCAGAAGTTTAACGTATACAAACTAATGATCAACACGGAACTTCAAATGCCTGCGCGCACGATGCAAAACTGGCCCCTTTATTCATAACGTAGAGAAAATGTGTATCTCCACCAATGTCATCCTTCGCATATGCATAACTTGACTTACTTCAAAGGAGTATTCGTTGGCGAGCCATAAATTAAACAGGAAGACAACTTGGCGACCGATTCCGAGAAAACCTTTGTAACGGTGAAAGGAATACTAAGGACGTATCCAAATTGGCCAATCACCGACGAGATTTTTGTTACGTGCTTAGCGTGTGCGTTAGTTTCATATTTGTTGTCACGAACGAGATCGGGGCGCGGGCGGGTTTAAGATTTTACGCCAATCGATTGATGTTACGACTGCAAATTAGCAGAACTTCCTTTTTAGCCCACAGTCCCGTAAAGACTACTTGGCGGCCTGCGTAGGAGGATAATGGCTGGCAACTGTGAGAGGTAAGTATCGATTGTGAAAACTTTCTTTGAAACATTCCGACGCAAAGAGCTTTCGAGTGAGCAATACTATGATTCCGAAACCAGATACAAATTGTGGCTGTAAAATGAACACTGAATTTGCGAACTTTAGTGCGCTTCGCAACTTTCTTTGGTCTTGAAGCATTACGTAATAGAATGTTTCGTTTTAAATCCGACAACCTTCAGAATTCCTAACACAACGCTACACAATTTTTCGTCCGTAGTCTGTGTCCGTCGAGTAAACAACAAGTAGTCCGTATTACCATCTTTTTAAGCAGTATGTGTTTATTTTGTTGACAAAAATGCGGACCGAGGCCAGAACTGTTTTTTATTCATGTTTGCGCGAGGAGTGACGTGCAGCACGTGCCATGTGAAACGCAAAGGAAGAAAAAGTTTTCTCAATTGATGTGGTAATTGCTCATAGTCAAAAACACCCTTCTGCGTGTTCCAGATCACAAAACCCTCCGAACGGCGTTCGGAAGGTTTGTGATCTACACATCCCAGAAGAGGATCACGCTGGCCAAGTGTTTAAGCATCAAAACAAACTCCATCAGAGGTCCCTAGTGCGCTTCGAACTTTCAACACCCTGTCCCCCCCTCCCCTTCCTCCCCAAAACTCTGCTGGTATTTTAGCTGAGGCGTTTAAGATCTCAAATGCTCGGGTGGAGAGGGGGTGGGGAGAGGGGGTGGATCTTGAAGTTTCGAGTTGATCGGTGCATAACGATCGAGTGAAAAATCTCAATCTTCGAGGAAACGTTCTATTCAGGGCGAGAAATTGAAAAAACTAAAACTGTTAAACGGAGATCACTGGGCAACTGGAAATACAATTGACACGAACATGTAAATTTTCCTAAAAAACAAGAGTTTGAAAACGAATGTTCTGAGTTTCTCCCACAGGCATGGATCACTACAGGGTTACATGTAGATTGTTGTACGGCTTGCCAACAACATGTGTTAAAGGAGTATGTCACGGTTTTAAGGTTTGACGTTAGAATGATGAAAGCTGTTTTCATAATTGAAACTATGTAATGGCTTTGAGACTATTAGCTATCTTCAGTTTCTGCTTCTTTTAGGTACAAATCAAAAACTTTATATACTGAAAATGATAGGGGATTAGTTCTGTGGATCTTTTTCACTGGAAAACAACGAAGGTCTTGTGAAACATCACAAAACTTAATCATTATGTACCTCAATGTATCACTGAGTTCGACAAAAGTAGAAGCGTATATCGCATTTTGTGACAAAACCATTTGGAACTAGTACATCAACAATGGGTGAAGTCCAGAGAACAATTGACAAATTCAGATTTAAGACTTAGGTTTGAGAGGGTAGAACAAAGCTAATGATAGCTTCTTTGAGTGTTTAAACAGTAGCATGATACACAACTACCATTATAATATTGTCAACACTGTAATATAGTATCTACTAAACATCATTAAACAACATCGTAATGTGTTAGTCAAATTGAACTTTCAATATTCCGTCTCAGGCATACCCGTAGTTCAATGTTGTTTGGCAGTTGAGAATCTAGTCTTCCATGAGATCAGGAATTTCAACATGGAACATCAATTTCAGTATGACAGAATCAGCAGATCACTTTAAGTTGGAAGATTTTAATGGAAAGAGTTGTGCCTATGTCTTTGACTGGATGAGGAAGTGGGACCTCAATAATTCCAGGAAAAATAATCTTTTTAAGCAGTAGTATGGTCCTGTGATTGAGGTTGGTGGGCATATTGATCATACAAAATAGACCTATTTTGTGGCACCCATCAATATACGTTGGGAATTTGATCACCCAAAAACAACAAATTCACATTACTCAGGGGTTGTAGATGGGGGGAAGGGGGATGTTGAAGGCTCAATATTGCTATTGTACATTTAGTTTACAGTAATAGTTTGAACAACTTTCCTCCTGTTGTGAAACATCACCTCCACAGTTGGAGGTAAAGAGAGTAACATTTCTGTCATGGAATGTTCTGTCATAATTTCAACATCAACAGCTTGTGGAAGTTGATGAATAAGTTGCTTAGTGCAACCTACAAATGAAGTCAAATTGAGTGTCTGATCGCCATAGTAGAACAAAACTTGAGCATATAATTGTTTTGCTCATTGCGATTTCCTAGAACTAGACCTTTCATCGTTGTAATATGATGCGCACCGCAATCAAACAAATCATCACGTACGCAAGCAAATCTACTGCTACTGCTTGTTACTCAATAAATTCGGGAAGCGACGCGACATGCGTGTGTGAAATATGATAGCTTTTCATTATGTAAATTTTCTGTTGTCCACTCGCCTCTTTTTCAAACCTAAAAGTTCTTTTTTTTACACAATAATGAAATACAAAGGAGACTTATAGCATTGAATAACAAAGGCACATGAGTCGCGCATTTTTTTCGACCGTGCGCTCATAAAAATCGTATATAAGCGTCTGTCTACCCTTCGTCTGGTATATGAAATTCGTCTGCGTAGTTAACAATAAACGCCAGCGGTACTGTATGCCTGAACGTGGTTAGCTATGAAATCTTTATACTCCTGTTTGGTTCCATGCCTTAGCTTTGGACAGTCACTAGTCCATATTAATGCATCAGTGGAGATGAGGAGATCCTTGCACCTTAAATTCAAAATATAGAGCATAAAAAACTATTATTCCAATCGGATTTACTTTGGTGAGAAGCACCTCTGCAAAAAACGTTTCAACCTTCAACTGAAAATGCTTAGCAACAATGGCCGGATTCAAGTTCAGCATTGAACATCTTTCATTGTAAGACTTTGCTTCAATTTTTTCTTCAGTTAAGTCGAGAACTTGTGTATTGCCTATAATTTGAAACAACTCAGGCCATCTAAGGTCAGCACAGAACAATGTCATAAAGCTGGCGGGAATTCCAACCAGTTTTACCATGGCTACAACTTCATACATAAAATTTTGCCAGTATGGAGGTAAACTTGGTATCTGCCTCGGAAACAAAGAAGCCTGGTCTTCCAAGATTTTGTAAACTTTGCACACTGAACCTTAAATTTGATGCAGTATGAGACTGTCTACGAACTTTTGTGAGAGCTACATTAATACCATCTGATATTTTTTTCTGTTCTATTATAAACTGTGCAAAGAACAAATGTTCAGCATTCATTGCAAATCTGCCACTTTAATGTAACAAAAATGGGCACTGAAGTACCTTGTTGGTGACGAGTAAACTGCTCTCTCCACCATATACCCAAATCTACCTTTTGGGAATAACACTGGAAATGCTAGTTCTTCACAATTATTGTCAGACATTAACAAAACTGGATGTTTTGTTTTCCCTAGTGCAATATTGAAAACTTCATTTCCCGCTGACTTTAATGTTTGGTGATAATCAGGTAAAATTTACTGCAAGGAAGTTTCTACAGTGGTTGCTTGAAATTCACTCAAAGGATCCTCTCTCTTCCTCATTTTCATCATCAGTTGTTCTCTGTTCACTACTTTCATCACTTATTGGACAAACTTCACTATCCTTTCCTGAGTTAATTTGCAGATGCAACTCAGAAAGATTTTCATCACTATTTGTAGCATTTACTGTTAGGCCACTATACAAAGGATTATTAATCCTCGGCTAATGAAGAGCATTAAGCACAATTTCAGGGTGTACAGCTTGAAAATAAACCGACCTTTAAACCAAAGTTTTCTTTTCAGCTCTGGTATACTTTTCTTGACCTTTCAGGGGGTTGTTGGCAAAATATTGCAAGTCTGATCACAGTCTACTGGAACATTACAAATTGCCCCTTCTATTTTACCTTGTTGGCCTTTGGGAATAACAACAACATTTTTCCAAACACAATGTGCTGCACTATAAGAATCTGTTCAAGTTTTTCCAGACATACTAAAGCTGTAGTTCTGAAGGAATTTCATCAATGTCTAACTTATTATGAACAGATTGGCATGGAATGTATCCTTATGACAGCTTAGAGTTACAAGTTTTACAGATGTATTCCTTATCATCAAATGACTTTATTCCTGTGAAAAGATGTTGAATGTCATACTTATTTTTCTGTAATTCTGTGGCTGTTTTTCTGTAGAGAATTCTCTTACATACATAACATATGTAATCTGGGCCTTCTTTTACCCTTTTTTGAAAACGTGGTACAGGAATCTAAGTCCTTGCTGTCTTTCTTCTTGCTTTTCACATTATGGTAATGATGACGAAACCTTTATTTGTATATTTTTTTTTCTTTACTGGTTCGAGTTGAGCATAAGATTTCCTCTATTCCATTGCTGTTTTTTTGTTTTTGTTTTGTTTTGAGGATTTGTGGCATCTCAGAATCTTTCGCTTCTCTCCTTCACTTATCCAACATGTACATGCTATAAACTGAATGCATTTGACTATTGTATCAGAGTTCAACTTGTTTGTTATAATTTCACAAACTGTTTGAAAAAGGGATTTTGCATCATCAGTACTTGCTCTTCATTATAAGAAGTATTTTGTTTGTCTGCTATTGTGACAAAGACGACCTAAACAGAGATTAGGAAAATAAAGCAAAAATCCAGCGTTTAAACTTGCCTTCTGCAGGATAAACCTCTCAAGAGCTTATTTATAGGAAGATTAATTATGAGAACATCAACACACTTAAAAGCCATCTAAAATATATTTAAAAAGACATCAATAACTTTACCTTTGAGAAAGAAAGCTCATCTATTTTGAATAACGATAAATGTTTACATTATTATGAAATATTGATTAGGCATACTTCCTAATATTTTAGTATATATTTTAATACTTGTTTATCTAGTATTTTTTTTTGTGATAAGACTATTTAAAGTATTGAGAAATTTAACAATATCAACTAAAGGCACAATGTCTGATACTGATGAATTTCTTATTCCTTTATATATCTAAAACTTTATTGATTGAGACTAGATTATTTGCTATTCTTTTACATATATTTGTATATATTGCTTTCTGCTTTATTTCCTTAATCTTCATCTTCAGAGATCCCTAGATTAGATCTTAATTTAACCATAGATATGGTATGTGTTCAGTTTGCACCTAGCTAATGGAAACAGCTTAGTGATCAATCTGAAAACATCCCATTCTGAGACTGGTTTAATTCTCAGTACACTAACTTCTGTATGAATTGATAATTATTTTCATCTGAATCACATCCAATATACTACACACTTATATAGTTATTTCTATTCTTGAATTTAATGTAAACTTATATCTACATATTTTAATTAACTTAGTATTATTTATTCAAATATTGCAAAGTTTTTATAATTTGGTATTATAACAGGTCCACATAAGCTATGGCTGCCTGACTTTTAACCTGCATCAAGAAATAATGTTATTTTATGTTATGTTAAGACAAACTACAGACAAGTGTTACCCTTTCATTGGAAACAAAATCGACAGCAGTTAATTGGCACCGTGTCTGTTAGTATTTCGTGGTAATTCTGAGGAACTTATCCAATATTCAGTGCTGTCATTTAGCATAGCACTTTCAACAATAGCATCTAATGTATCAGAGTTCCAATCACTACAAGGCTTAAGAACTGAAAGAAATAGGTCTAAAAAGATACAGCTAAGGCGCCATTTGCAACCAGTTGTCGCGTTCTAAATGCAAACCCACGCGCGAATGCTAATTTTATAGCTTTCATCATTAGTGAACATGCTGTTCTTGAAAACTGGTTCATTAATTTCGCCATTTATATAAAACCTAGTAAGTTCTACTCGCTTACTTTAATGGTGTTGTGTTACAGTTTGGTTACCTGTCACGACTACGTCTTGCTCTGGCTCGTATTCAAATGTTTATGGGAGACCGGATTTGCTTCTTGTTTTAATATTTGTCAAATCATCGATCGATGCTCTAAAAAGGGAAAGGAAAATTAAAAGTGAGATACGCGTAGTTCAAGTTGATTTAGACTCTCCAGCGCGTGCAATTAGGCAAAACAACATTACGGCAATAAACGAACTTATGTCAGTCAACACGGTAATCCAAGAATTTTGTAAAAATTGGTGGCGCTTAAAGGAGCCGTTTTTTTCTTAAAGGAAGCTTTTAGTAGCCTGACGCTCATCCTTCGCGTTGGACAACAGCAAAAATAACTTTTCGGAGGTGGCTAATATATTGGCAGCTCTTAGCAGCAGTCACACTTCAAGTTGACCTTTCATCGTTGTCATATGATGCGCTCCGCAGTCAAACAAATCATCATGTGCAATGCGAACTGAACTATTTACATCCCGGTGCGTAAAAACTGAAGCGAGCGCCGATCGAAAATCATTCACAATTTTAAATAGTATATTTTCCTTCTGATCTTCATGGAAGGTGGTCGAGTTAAGTTCGAAGTTTCGAATTCACGTATGATGAGAAGGAATCCGGACGTTTCGCACTCACGGAAGTTTCGTACGCAGACGATTTGTAAGTTGAGATGATTCGTACCCAAAGCTAAGATGATCACCATCTGGGCTCAAAATCGACAGATTGATTTAATCGCCGCCACAATGGTCTTTGTGTTTCACATTGTTTAGGCTGAAATGTTTCCCAAAGCCATACAGCCAACTAAAGGCAATCGGTCTCAGTGATACTGTCACTTTAATCACCGCCATAACAGACTTTGCGTTTCAAATTGTTTGGGCCGAAAAAAGATTTCGAAGCGCCCCGTAACTTGAACGCGGCTACGGCTGTTGTTTGAATTAGGCTCGCGATGGAGGTGTTGACCCTGCTTTTCGTTTGGAACTTCGAAAGCAAGTATGGAAACTTTTTCCTCCGTCTGCCATGTAAAAACTTCGAAAGCTGTGATAACTTAAACATGCAAACTTTGAAAAAATCATATTCATGTTACTCACTTAGGAAGACACTCCCACAAAACAGCGCAGGGACATAGACTGCCAAGAAAACAAGGTCAAATACACGTGCAATGGCGAAGCGTATACGTCATTTCAAGTTGAAGCCAATGACATCACGCCATCTAAGTTAAAAATCCCAAGGGATCACGTTCAAGCCAATGACATTGTACAACATTGCAAATATCCCATGCGAATACCATTTCTTACACCGAGGAACGACCGAACCAGTAATAAACTCTCCCACTGACGCAGCACCACAGTTTCTTTCTCCGTAAATTCATTGATCTCCAGTAATTGATGCGTCAAATAAAACAACAAAATAACATTAGAGTAACGTCCGTTAATCTTGTTTCAGTTATCATTCACTAAAGTGCAATATTATGCTCTTCAGTTTTCCCTTGTTGTTCATTCCCGGAAGAAGTCTCAGCTATTTCGGAAGAAATATACAAAAAGTTACAACAGCAAGAAGAATTCCTTTGTGCGGCTCACTGGTCTCCGTAAAAAAATAGACTGTGAATTGATGCGTCAGTAATAAGAAAAACGTTTTAGAGACAATGTAATCTCTTCAAGCTAATTGTTCTGAAAGGAATCCCAGCTTCAGTTTTCCCTTGTTGTTCTTGTTTGGTGCAGGTGATTCTAATGAATGAATAAAAGTTTAAATAAGGTTAAGGATAAGTACAGTTTAACTACAACAACAAAAGCTACAAAAAAACCACGTTGCTGAAAACCCAAAGCAGGAGCTTCTGTAAGTGCTCCTACCCTTAAACATTAAACTTCAAAAACAAAACAAAAAATGGAAACCAACATTAAACAACACTAATTCAAAAAAATGACAAAAATGCGTAAGGTAAATTGATTCTAAAAATGATAAATACTTTATTGATTTTAAAGTCATCTGCTGTAAGTGTCTACCTGTATTTCAAACTTGTGTCACGGGGGGGCAGACAGACACGCCTACCCCTCATCTTACTTAAAAAAACAAACTGAAGAAGTAAGCCGATGGATGAGAACACTGTCATCGTCATTTTGTCGCACCAGTATCTTTGAGTGACTGATCTGAACCGAAGAAGGATTCTCTCAAACCTTAATTTGTTTCTTAGCAGGGCAAATATTAAAAGTAACTCTGAAGCAGTGACGCACTATGATATTAATAACTAGTCGGACTTCCTTCCCCTAATGTAGATGCTATTCAATATTCAAGATTAGTTTGAATTTAACCACATTTTCCTGTTCATCGCAGTTTTCGGATCTGGTACAAGACCAAAACTTGATTTAAAGGAAGACAGCTAGGCAAATGTTGACAAACAAAATATTCTATAACAAAATCTAAATTCAGTCTTTCACGATTATAAATTTCATTCCTTTTTCTCTTGTATTTTTTCTTTATAATTTCAATCACGTCTGCGTTTGGTATTTCCTAACAGCTTTTACGTGTTTTTCGTAATCTTTATCAACAGTGCAAATTAAATTTCACTGAAGAAGAATGCTTTGTTTCAAGTTAACATGTGGGTGATTCCCATAATGCACCATTGGAAAAGAAAATAACTTTAGCGTCCCACCAGAAAATAATTCGTAAATGGGTCAGATGTATTTTAGATAACAACAGTTTAAAGCCATCTTCACCTCTGCATCGCACGAGAAGCGAAATGTTCTTAACTCAACCGAACATATCAATATTGCTATAAAATTAATAACGCAGCTCAGAATCTTACGTCACTAAAGAAAGTTGAAATTGCTGTGACAATAGACGAGAGCTAAGAAAATAATCATGTGGTTTCTTAAACACAATGATATTCCTCGATAATAATTTTTATGACAAAATGGGTGAGTTGGAAGGAAACTTTTAATATTACCTTATAGGAAATAAAATATGATTTTCGGTGAGTCTTTTTTTTTATCATTAAATTCTGATTTTCTTTCACTATTCTCGTTTTGTTAATTTTAACTCGATATCAGCTCGTATCATCAAGAATATAAAGCCACTGCCATTAATTACCAATGCTGCCTGTCCTTGGTTCCAGGGTCCACTCGGCCCCTTTCATGCCTTTTTCCACTGATCTTCTCTCCGGATCCGTCAAGTTAAGCCGTCCTCTATTCCTCTTTCCTACTGAATTCCCTGTTATAACACCCCTGGGATGATAGTCGGGGACATTCTGCTGATATTTCATTCTGTTAACTGGAATATACCTGATTGATGATAACTTTCCATGCTGTAAATTGTGCTTTAGTTCTGATGCGGTAGAGAAAGTGGAGCTGTCAGTTATCTCTGACGATCCTGAAATACCATCGTCTGGGAATGAAGTTCAACTGCAAGAAGCAGACCTGAGGAACAAACAGTCCAAGCTGCCGGAACAAGCTGATAAACCTGATGGTTCCGGTAAGTAAGATCATGGAAAGTGTCTCGGTGAGGTTCATGATAACGTGTGTTTATTCATAATTGGTGAACCTATTAGAGACGTTTGTCGATATAGTTTGGTTTTTATTGAGGGTAACAGAATATATGATAACTATTAATCATGTTTTGGTTTAGATATTTAAAAAAATTTCGCGAGAAGCTTTCTTGTATTGCGTTAGCAAAAAAAGTATAACAAATTTTTGAAGTCTTCTAAGATATCATCGCACTAAGGGGATTTTAGAGTTAGTATGCGGTTTTTTCAAAGTAGATCTCTAAGATCCCCATACCCTATGCATTGTGGGCTCATCGTTATCTGAGGCATAATTATTTATGGGCTTAAATTGGTAATACTGTGTGCGACAAACGGGTAACAAAATTTGGGATGAGGATCTTCACCGTTCTCTCGATTTGGAACTCGTCTAGCTGGCGTGGCGCAATTTCTTCTTTCATTATGAATTAGAAATGTTAAAGGAAAACTTGCCCAAGAAACTAGTCCGATCGAATACAATCTTTTCTCGATTATTTTTGTTGCTCGGTCTAAATTTAATTTTTACCTTCTATTTATAGAATCTGAGGACGAGCATGAAGATATTGATGACTCAAGTGATCCAGATCAACATCAAAGTTAGTGAAAAAGGGCATTAAGGAAGACAAAAAACAAAAAAATCTGATATAATTACATGTAATTGTGTTGTTTGATCGTTCGGGTGAGTGTAGTCCTGGGAAGGACTGTTGTCGGTAGTGGTGACCGGCGTTTCGACAATCTAAGCGGAAGTCATCATCAGAGTCAGGTGAATAGTTGTTGTCAGTCGAATGTTCTAAGTCCGGTTTGTATAAACTGATTGTTCAGTTTTACTGTGATTTTATTGGCTGTAAGACTCAAGTAGCGCAAGTCGGTCGTGATTGGTCGGTCTCGATTAGTCGGTAAAGTTGGGTCGTTCTGTTTGGTTCGTTTACAATGTTACTGTCGTGAATGAGCCACTTGCATGGTGCCGGTAGTGGTTGATACCTGTCGAGGGGAGTCTGTTTTTAGTTAATAAACCAGCTTTCCAGAGTCAGGCCTGAAGGTAGTTTGTATTGTGGGTTGGGCATTGCGCAGTCATTAGTGTGGTTCGTAAGTCGATGATGTTCAGCAATGTGATTGTTGACATCATCTTCCCTCGTTGCTCGCTTGTGTTCAGTCAGTCTCTCCAATGAAGGAGGCGCAGCAGTCTGAGCAATTGTTCTTATAAACCGCTCCCACTCTGTTCCTCGGTACGTTCTTGTCTTTGACGTTTGTCAGTAACTGACGTAGTGTAGTGATAGGTTTGTGGGCGACGCGGATATTAAAGGGTTGTAGGATGCGCGAGATGTCCTCAGACATGCCCTTTATGTACGGTATAGTCTCTGTAGTCGAAGGAGTTACGGTGTCGTTAGTTTCGGTAGTTTTAGTAGCGCGGTGAATGTTTCGTTGGATAAAGTCTTCGTTACAGTTGTTCTTTGAAAAAACACGGTCAAGGTACTTATTTTCGCCGGATAAGCTGTCTATCGTGTTGCATACTTATTTCGCTCATCGCGTTAAAGTCCTGATAGTCGTGGCTTCGTGTGATATCGGGTTGTGGGATGACTCGTCCAGTGTTCTGTCGGTATGTTTCAGTTTCCCGTAAACTGTTCCGGCCGGTGTTAAAGTTAAGTCCCCGTTGAACACACAGGAGGCCATCCAGATCGTCAGAGCCACCTGAAGATGATTGGTCAAAGCGGGGTTAAATGATTGCCACAGAAGACTCAAACGCTACGAAAACAAATTACAGCTACTACACGAGAAACTGAAACAACTATTAGCTACTGACTTACTTGACTCCGTTATGACTATTGCTGACAAACAAGCCAACAAGACGACTGAATGTGCCCGCACTGGACATCAGTAGAAAATGACTCGACTACTACGCAACAAAGAACAGAGACGAATTAAACCAGTCGACAACTGGGTGTGGAACATTTCTTCCCGTCCCTTAGACAAGAGTGAAACTCGTGTACTGTCACATGGACTGAAACACTTAGTTACACCGAAACCGGGATACCGACCGAGGCTATTGTATCTAGTGTTGAGGCGACTCTGCCGTCTCGGCAACGAGAGCTATTTAAGCCGACTTCCACTATACAATAAGTGTCACTTCGTGACAGCGATTTGGCTAGAGACGAACAACATGCGCTGAAAGGACCGAAAAACGACGAGAAATGGAATTTAAATTTTTTTTTTTTTTTAACTGAAGGTATTCATAATTTTGAATCATGCTTACATAAATATGATTGTTTTACAGAAATTGAGAAGGAACTCGACGATGCTCTGCGCAAAGGAGATTTCGATGATATTAATCAGAAAGTGACTCCAAAAACCCTGGCAAGCTGTAAAAGTAATACCTTACTCAAAACGTTTCAGGTTAGTCTTATAACTTTACCTTAACTGCTTTTAACTGCACGCTTAACCTGGGGCTGTTTTGCTATACCAAGTGACCTACGTGATCCTTAATTTCTGTGAGTTGGTTGCACCACTTGTTATTAGCCCTTCGAGCTTTTCATACTCATATTGCTCTCTCAACCATCTGGCTACAAAACTACAAAAAATTGCGTCTTGTTTTCTCGAATTGTACCTGTATCTTAATTAACATTGAATTTTCATTGGCTTGCAGTGAGATCTCTATTTTTTTTTACTCGAATCACGGCGGCTAAAACACTAAAAAATCCGTATCGCTGACAGAGAGTGTGGTTCAAACTTTTTTAAAAGGGGAAGAAAACCAATATACTAAAAGAAAAATTGAAAGCTACGTATTCAGTGGCTTTGGTGTCAGCGTTTGTTTCGGCTGAGAATGAAAATCGACAACCGGAAGATTTGCCATTGGCCGATTTTGGCCGTTTACCTAAAAGACTTCTTCTGTCGGTAAGGACAAAGTCAATAAATTAGAATTTTGTAAATTAAAAATTACAACCATTGCTGTTTTTGTAATCATGATTCAACGCATTTTTCCATCTTAAGAGTTAGCGCCAACGCTCTTTACGATTGTTATTCGGGGACTGTCGATTCATTTATTTTCATTCATTAATGAAGTCGGCTTTTCTTCTCAGTAAAGGGCTATTGTGTTTATATGATAAACAAAATAACACACGGTTGCTTGTAGATATGGAATTTCTCTTCTTGTGTTCAACTCGACATCTCACTCGTTCGCTGCGCTTACTCGTGAGCTGTAGTGTTAAATACTCCAAGAGAAATTCCATATCTACGCGCACCCATGTATTATTCTCTATGTGGGCAGAGAGTAGAGAAGATTGTAAAAAAGCTGCACTACAAAAAATACCAGGCCCCGGTTGTTCAAAGGGTTCAAAAGGCAATCCACTGGGTAAATCTCTGCGCGGGATATTCTCGGAAGTGAAAAGAAAAACAGATTATCCGGACTGACGACAAAGTACAGAAGCTTGACAGAGGGCCCAAGCCCCATGGAAATCCTAATATATGCATGCATATAGCCGCGTAGACCGTGCGACACAATTAATGACACTAACAAATGAATCTCAGTATTGAATTGGTTATCGAGACTTTGTTGTAAAAACTCTCCCGTTATTCTCAACAACTTGAGCCTTAGAGGAGTTCAGAAACACTATGATTTTTATAGAGCCGTTTGATTAACGTAATGATTGTAATTATTTTCTCCCACAGGTCAACAAAGCACTCCGAGATTTAGCACATGATGAGAACTCGGAGAGAGATGATGTAGAAATGCTGGAAAAATCTATAGATGAGTTCACATCAGCCTTGATAGACCCTCTAAAAGCTGACCCCGATACCAGAAAAACATTTCAAAGTTGTTTTGATTATGTGATTGACAAGGCAATCGACACAGAGCAGAAGAAGGTACTACACCAATGATGAAAAAAGTTTCTAGTCAATTTATTATACTCCATTCCTATAGAAGATTCTGGCGGGAAATCTGCTGCCCATCTAGACAACCTGACCAAGTGGCGCAATATAATGCCATTCCGATAAACAGAACGTCTTCCGTGGCGAAGATATTTTTTGAAAAAAAATGGGATCAAAATTTTGTTAATGGTGACATGAAACTCTCCTGTGATAAATCATAAGTAAGAACTAATCTAAATTCAGCTTATTGCATAAAGGAATATATTGACGATTTATTTTCGCAGTTCATCTCTCACCCAGTGGTGTATAACTTACTCAACACTACATGGTACCGCTCCTTTTCCTCAACAAGAAACATTTCATGGCGGTCACCTGGACGCTGGGGATACTTTTTTCTCAATCTTTGGACAGTGTTTGACATCGTCTTATTTCCCTTCCTCTTTGCCATTTTCTTCGTTCTGCATTTGATAAAACAGGTCTTGAGGAAAAGAAGAGGTTTGTGATATAGTTTTTTAAAAGTCATTATAAAGTAGTTGACATCTTACAGTAGATGGTAATGCATTTTTACTTCGCTTAGCAAGCTCTTTGATAGTCAAGGTTTGGGCCTGGAAGAGGTAAGGGTGATAGCATTGCCTTATCTTACTCCTGCCTCCTTAAAACTGAGTTACCACGTCAGTTCAGTCCTCCCAACTGACACAACACAGGAGTCCTAGCTGCAGCAATAAAACATAAAATTCTGTAAGTTATAAAACATTATTCATGATTATTATCAATTCCTCGCAATGATTTGTTGCGCGACCCATCAAGCCTTACTTGAAAAACTTCACCGTAAGTCGTCAATTTGGCTTAAGTTCAAAATTTTTATTCAATTTGGGTTTTGGCCAATGATCAGTGAAGGGCTAGTTATTTACAGTTTATTTCCGTTGTGAGATAAAGTGTGGGATTATTTGTAGGCCTGTTATTTGTTCCCGTTAGATCTTAACAGTCATAAGAATTGTTGTGACTGTAATGTCGCCACTGGAACTTAATCTTGAGATTAGATACCAGAAGCTACTGGGGAGTTGTTTAGATATATAGCGTCAGTTGATGTGTGTTTTCTTTAACTCATTGGTTTGATAGGATAGCGTCTGATGCTTTCCTTAACTTGCAGAAACTGAAATGTGTTTTGTTTTGACGCTGGACAAGGATAAGCCAAAAAAGGAATTTGGTCTGATCAAAGAGACGATGAGCTACATTGTTCAGAAATATGGCTACCAATCTGCCAGCTACTGTGTGATTTTACGTAAGAACAACGAATTGATTGGTGACATCAACTTTGAAGAGAGGTGCTCTTGTGAGGCCACACTGCAAAAAAGGATTGCCGAGTTAGAGCAGCCAACCTCTCCTGCTTTACTCTTTAAAGATCTTGATGACGTTTGTAGTGCATTCAGAGCCCCAAACGTTCGAAAAAAAGCTAAAAAGGTGAGGTATATGCGCGCACGCGACCGATTTCTGCTGCTCTGTCGAGTTCGGTGCGTCAACAAGGGGGAGTGGGCTCACTTTTCAACCATTAGCTTGTTACTGGGCCTTGGTAAGGTAACACTCGTGATCGTAAGTTCGGTGACAGTTCTATGTAGTAACACTGCAAAGGAATGAGGATACCTCCAAAAGTGTACTCACTCGGAACGGTTTTTACTCTCTATCATTTTATTCGACCTGTGTTGCTTTTACTGCCTGCAGCCATATGAAAATTCATGTTCAACTTTGACTGATTTTGATGATCGCACGCTGCATTGATATATGTTTCAAACGGAAACAATTATTTTTTGTCTCATTTTCTTCCTGGAACGAACGTTTGACATCGAGGGAATCATTGAGAAAGGGCAAGTTTTGTTTTTCCTCGAGCTTCTCCCCGAGAATATTGCAACTTGTTCTTTTCCTTTGGAAAAAATCATAAAGCGTGTAGAGTGATTTTCAAATACTCTTACGCGAATATCCCCCCTTTTATTTCTGAATAGTGTTGTAAAGTCAGTTGTCAAAGTAAAGAAGCTGAGCACAACGGTTAATTTGTAGATATACATATGCTATCTTTGTAGAGCAGTGAAAGACATCGATTGATAGGTGACTTTCCTAAACCTTTCACCTAACAACTTTTTTAAAGCTTATCCATTCATTAATTTAGTAATTCATCGTACCTAACATTAACATCTCCAGTTATTAGTTGTGTAGACATATTAAATAAGTGGCGAGCCAGACAGAAAGATTGATAATACTGACATAAAGGAGTTAAAAAGTTTCAAGAAAATCAGCAAAATTTGGAAGAATCAGGTAATATTGATCATAATTGATCAACCTTGTGAGTTTGGTGCTAAAAATTACACGAAATATTTTTTTAAAGTTTTGATTTTTCATCAGGTTGTCGTGTTTTTTCTTAATTACACATTGGATATGTCAATGGAAAAACTGAGAAGCTACAGGACTTAGTAGAGGATATAAAGGATATGCAAGTTAACATCGTTCCCGTCGGTATTGGGGAGGACGCTAAATTATCAGAGTTAAAAAAGATGGCAACTAAAGATGGCACAGCACTTCACTTTGGAGAATACGAGTCACCCGAGACGTTAGGGACAGCGGTCATACAAGGTAACTTGGAGAGGTTTAACATTTCTTTACGAACCAAACCTCCTCAGAATAATTAATTTCCTATGTTGTGTCGGAAAGAAAAAGAAAGCATTACATCCTGTTGTTACAACTCGAATAGTAAAAGTGTTTTTTTAAACGGTGACGTAATTTAAAGGCTCTAATATCTCCCTCCATTGGCTTTATCATATTCATATTTCACTTTTCGTACAGGTATCGAGGGAAAGGACATCTATGGTGAGGACAGGCCTATTTGGCATTTTTGGTAGCTATATAATCATAGACCGTTGAAGATTTTTTTCTGATGAGTTTTGACAGATTGTCAGCGCTCTTCGAGTTTTCTTTCGAGAGTATCCATTCTAAACTAGTGTCTCACTTCTTGTCTTTCAGAGAAATACAAGGATTACTTTACGACTCCTTATTTCGTCTTTTTTCGCGACACGCTGAGCTATATCACCCTCCTCGTTCTTCACTTCGCTCTTTGCCTTTCTCCTTCAACTGTTTCCTTCAGTCGACTAGAACGGGTTATATTAGTTTTCTTCGTGGGACGCATTGTAATGGAGATGGAGCAGTTTATCAGTGCTAAAAAGAACGCAGTGAAAGCGCGCAAAGTGAAGAGAAATAGTGTCGGATGCACCCCCCAAGAATGTTCACCTGAGGATCCACAAGAGATAAACGAGGCAGGAAATGACAGCCTTTTGCCAAAGACGTTCATTGGTTACTTCAGGTATTTCATTTTTGATCGGTTTATTTTAATTTTAGAGAATACTAGATCCCAAACACGTAGAGGGCATAAATCTACGTGACCAGTGACCACATGAATTTAACTGACGGAAAAAAGTTAACCATCTTGATAAGGTAACAAAATTGAGCACCATTGACTGATTGGGTGCTGCAGTATAGCCTACTGTTCATTGTTAAGAGCTGCATCAATCATGATAAAATGCACCATTTTTAATGCTTGGGTGCATTAATAGGGGCCAGTAACAAATGTTTTGGTACGCCGATACGAACCCTCGCTCACTGTTTTGCCTCATCGATTGGGGCCACTTCACATTAGTTGGATAGACCAGCATGTAAACCAGGAGTCGCCTTCTAGGTATAATAATAAGGGCCACTTTACTTATTTGAGCACAACAGTATGAGCATCTTTTGATTTTTGGATACACCATTATAGGCCACTGTTATTTGTTTAGTTACACCATTACGGAATGATATTCTTTTTTTTAGGTACTTTCAGGTCATAAATTAGGTTTTACGCATGACGAGATCATAGACATTGAAAATGACCGTACTACCGAGGTTCTCTTTGACAATCTACATACTAAAGTTTTAAATTAAGCTACACGATAATGATTTTGAAACTGACAAGCAAGAAAAAAAATAAGCGATTGGTAAACCTACAGTTTAAATCTTCCATTTTCATGGTAATAATCTATTTTTTCAACATCTTTCTCTGTAGTAAAAGGAGGAACAGCATGCATACGTAAACTTATTCTCTTGCATATGAATGAGATACGATCTGTGCGTTGACTACGTTTATTTATGCTCTTCTAATGCAGTTGATATCCATTATATTTATAGTGACCGCTGGAATGTGCTTGACTTCATCACTCTTGTTTTATACCTGATTACATTCGTATTACGCATGACCACATTAGGGATCTCCACTGACGTATCAGGAAACAGACTCTTGGTTGTGTCGGAGTATTTCTATGGTTTTATTGCCATGTTTCTCACAATAAGAGCCTTTGGTCAAGTCATAGAGCGCTTGCGGAAAATGGGTACAATACAAATCGCCTTATTTTTTATCATCGCTGATGTCTTGGCGATATTTTGGCAGTTTTTAGCCATGATTCTGGCTTTTGCGCTGCCCATGACAAAGATTTATATTGCTGAGAAAGCTTATACTTCAGGAAGAGATTCCGCGGATTCTTTGTGAGTAGAAATTGTTACCTAGCCAATAAATCTTCGAACCCATAAATAACAGATTTTAACTTGTTGTGCTTATGTGTGTCTAGGCGCCCAAAGAAAGTGACATTTGGCTAAGAGCTAATCAAGTGAAATTTAGTTTTTGGATGGGAAGCGTAACAGGAGTTTAAAACTACTTACACCGGAGTGCCAGATTTTCTATAAAAAGCGAGTTTGTTTTACTATCTTTGTGACTCTGTGTAAATTTTAACCATTCCTTTTCTCCTAGTATTTCAAGGGTGTGCAGTGAATCAGGGATAATTTGGTAAGAGTAACACTGTTGTTGCTGTTTTTCATTCCAAATTTTAACATCGTGTACTGATCTTAAATACGAATCACGCGATATCTTCACAAAACTTGAGTTCTACGTTTTAAATGCTTCGAAATCAATTTTAATTGACTTTAAAAAAAGTCAGTTGTGAGCTGAAATTGTGATGCAAAAGAGGAAGCGACCCAGTAGATCTAGAGTTACGAGACAAGAAGTAGTTCCGAGTCCAAAGTTATCCTCTTTGCTTACCATTCCTCTCGTGGCCTCGCCACTTAAAACTTGCACAAGCAGCCAGCTATTCAGTTTCACCTCTTAAAAGAGGCACCTGTGACACGAAAGCTTCCATAACGCGGATGTTCGGAAACAGCTATGGCGGTCATACCGCACTCAGTTGAAAAACTTAATGAATGATTAGTTTATCTAACTCGTTACTTTTAAAACTGTTCTCTAGTTGGTGGAACATAGCGACACACCTAAGCTGGTCTTTGCTGGGTTTAGCTGACCAAGATTGGTTGGACTCCGTCGACGTTCCTTCCGTTTTTCTTGTTCGTCTGCTGTACGGCTTCTTCTTAATCATGGTCGTTGTTCTTCTCGTGAACATGATGATTGCTTTGCTCTCCAATACGTATCAGCAGGTTCAGGTACTTAACAGATCCCTGCCATCACGGAATTAATTTATTCTCTTCATAATCCAGAATTAAGGGAATATGGGCTCTTTTCGGCATAAGATACTAGATACTTTTCGTTGATAAGCTTCTATGATCTATTTTTGATTATTGTTATTATTTACTATTATTTGTTTTGGCCAACAATATTATAATCCAACTGGTTAAAAAGGTTTCATATCGTACCCATGTTGTTTCTCTGTAAGAATGATGATCAGCCCAAGAGGAGCAGCTCAAGGCTACCGTTAATACCCTATTCCTTTTGTGCAGCGCGTCCGCGGTTGGATTCGTAGTTTTGGAGTTAAAATTTGATGAGTATTTTTGTAAAAAAAATTGTTTTGGAATTTTGTTTCTGGTGTATGATAGTTTTTCTCCCGCTGAGGGAGTGACGCCTGTTGTTCCTATTTACTGGTACGTCCTTAGATGCTGTTAAGTCCCTCTTTTTGTCTCTATTAGGATAATTCACTGCATGAGTGGTCTTTCAAGAGAGCCATTATTGTTAGGACTTACAGTAAGAATAATCCAATACCAGTGCCTTTCAACATTTTGTCTGTTCCACTGATGGTGCTCTGGAACATCTTTTTGGGAAGTCCGTGTTGCACATCGTTTGACACTCCTGGTTTGGATGAGGCAGGACGGGTAAGCTGGTAACGCGTGCTAATCAACTTTTTTTGAGTTTTTAAAAATAGCCGCTGTTGTTAAAAGTTATCGTTCATGTCCGCTCAGTTATTTTACTTACTATTTTATTTCTGCTTTTTATTTGAAATTTCTTTGATTCGACAGAGTAGAACCCTGGATAAATTGGTGAAGAAGCTAGAAAGAAGATACTTTGAGAAGTACGGTTATGAATTTCCCCTCACAGGTAGGGTGATATGCTAGATTTGTTAATAGCCTCGCATATATGATAAGGTCATAAAACAAATTAAAGAAGGTGCGAAGATCACTTTCATAGTCCTCTCTTAATCCTCGGATCTCGTAGACGATTTTCATATTTTCACAGTCATTTGTAATGATTTTGTTAACACCACTCAAAACAGGCCAAGTTAATAGGTGGTTCCTATCTTTGTTTAGAGGAAAGAAAGATGGATCACTTGGTGAGACAAAATGAAGGAGGTCGGAAAATGACTAATCAGATTGTACGGGAAATATTCCAAACGTATGGAAACAAGGCGAAGAAACTTGCGTTTGGCCGAAGAGTGAGTGATTTTCAGGCCTACAGAGATTCCCACCACATTCTATAGACCTTGCTACATCAGGAAATACCTTTGTTATATTTACTATTTTACACAAAAATTCTTCCCTCGAGCAAGTTAAATGTGAAACCGGGAAAATTACTGAGTACACTTTGTGTTGTATTTTCCTTCTTCCCTTGACGCTTTTGAAGCAGATTTGGGATGTGTGTGTGGTTGTAAGTATTTTGATGTTTGATTATGACAAAAAAATGTAGTAAAAGATATATGAGCATATAGATATACACAACTACATTTGCAGAGTTGTGTAATTATTTTTGTCTATGTCAATCTCTTTGTCTCAGTTTTGTGAAGGTACTTCATGTAACTGAAATTTTGTTCGATCATCATTTAAAGGCGTGGCGTAATTCGCCAGGAATTGCTGTGGATGGCTGCCTCCTAACTTACTTGGGACCTGATTTCTGCAAAAAATGCAAAGATGGAAAGCCTAACAACATTCACAGTGCCAAATTCAATTCTCCCTTTACAGAAGAGACACCACGATTTGAGGTGAAGTTTTGATTTACACACACAGACATACATACATACATACACTCAGACAGACAGACGGATATACATGCATACAAAATTACATTCACAGTTTATTGTATAGCCCCTCCCCCTTCCCCCTCCTCTTGGGAGCTCTTCCGCTATACGAAGAGAATTATTTGCGAACAGCATATGTCGATCACATAGTTCCTGCTACACGGTAAAATCTCTGGGAAAAGCGACATAAGTACACCTCTTTTTGACCTTTTTCCTTTTGAAAGCCCAGCTGCTAATAACTTTTCTTTTGTAGGTGCTCTTACTTGTTTCTATTTTGGAGAACTATTATACTTAGTTTTAAAGAGTGAGCTTAGTGAGGTGTTCATAGTAGAAAGACGAGACCGTCATCGTTTTGCAGGTACTCATTCAGGGGACCGGAGAGAGGCGTATTATAGCACTAGGTGTTGTGAATAAGTCTTTCGACTGTCACAAAATGCCTGGTTTAAGTATTGGAACAGTTGGTTACCACGTAGACGATGGGAAAATATTCGAAGGTGGCTGTTCTGAAGTGGGAAGGGAGATCGAAGGTATGAGTTACTTCGATTGCAGGTCACGTATCTACTCAAATGTTTACGAAGGTTTCGTCTCTTTAAAATCTTTGTTAGTTCTCCCCTTGAAGCAAAATGAATTTGCCCCTACCTTTACCAGCTCGCCCTTAAATCTTTCAACTCGTTTTCTGACGGTAGAATATATATTTCTTCTCTGGGGAAATCATGATACGTTTCGAACAATGTGTAATTGTTTTTCCATGGAGAAGACTAGAGTTCGAAAGCTCGAGAAGTCGCAATGAAATTCCAGGCGCAACGACGCAGAAGTGCGAATATCAACCTACGAAATACGTCTGTTGGTCATTGCTTTAGAATGTGTGTTGCCTCCTAAAGAAACCGTTTTAGTCTAGTTTGTTCATAAAAGTATTTCTTAAAATTTGCCGCGAACACTAGCATAAAACAGTGTCAACCATGCTAGATAAAGAGCAGAGTAATGCAGCGGCTTTGCATTACTTGTTCGGTAGTCGTGCGTCATTTCACTCGGCTGATAATTTGCATGTTGATAGAAGTTTGTTATAGTTTTGCTGTGAAATTTCATGTTGATCGATATAAACGAAGATTTAAAAAAATATCTTCTACTGAAGGTGACAAGTTGAAATATTTTGGGGGCGAACTGGTAAAGGTGGGGGCCGGAGCTTGTTTTACTACAGGAAACGAACTCAAAGATGTTTTAGGGACGAATTGGCAATGGGGCGAAATCTCCAGTTCCCGACTTACAAGGTTCTGATGACGCTTGAAAACGTATTCAAGGTTTTACCTTCCTCCTTAATCCAACCTTGCGACAATAAATATCTGATTTCGCAGGAGAAAAAGGTTCAGAAATGTTGGTTTGTAAATGTTGAGGGATTCAATTTGAATTTTACTCAATGCTGTTACACCTTTGGTTAACTTTGTTTAATTTGTCCCCTTTTTGCTATGTTCTAAATATCTTATGTTGATGACTAAGGAGCCATGGCTTACCGCGGCGATCTCATCGCTTGTGAAGTTGATTTTAAAGAAGTCCCTGATGGTAAAATCTCTGTGTTGTTCTCCTTGAACGGTGAAGAAGTAGGGCGCTCTTCAATGAAGTATACCTCAGGACAAACTCTATATCCCATCGTCTCAATGGGATTTCCGGGCATTAAAGTGCTGGCAAAGGTATGTTCGAAAGAGGGGGAGGGGGAGGGTGATGGGCTAGAAATCAAAGCTGTAAATGGTTTGGCTTCATTGGTGATCTGCTAACATATCATACTTCGGCACGCTCTCACGGCCTCAAGGGATTGTTCCCGTGGCCAATTGGAAGCATAAGGCAAGGGAGCTCTCTTTGTGGCGGCTCTCAGACTCTGAAATAAATTATTCGCCCTGTTTATAATTACCAAAAAGTGTTTGAGCTATGTGTGTTTGTACTCTAATTGACCATACGGGGTGACCAGGCGAAGGAGGCATACATATCACTTCCTATTATTTACGTAATTCACACATATCTACGTTCAACATAATAGTTCATAGTTCATAACTATGATCATCGTCATCTTATTTTTTTGTCAACTTTTAGCGATTATTTTTTAATTTGAGGCGTACCATTTCCTCACGTTTTAGATGTGCTATCGAGACCGTTTCAGTAGAGTAACAACTGAAGACATTCAGAAGGAAATTAAAATTCTGCAAGATAATTTTCAGGATCAACTTGCTGATCTAAAGAGAATGTTGCTGGATCTGAGAAAGAAGTAGAGGAGAAAGAAGGGGCAGGAAAAGTTTTTAAGAAGCCGCCGTACATCAGGTGATGATGTAAAATCGTGCACTTTGATGGATCTGGGAGTTGACCAGCTGTAATCTTGCAGCTTTATTTTGGATAGCCCTCTCTCTTTATTACCTATTTTTTTCAATGGAGGGAGGAAAATAAAGAAGACTGTAATCATCTTAGTAATTGTGAGAAAACGTTTTGGCTTTTTCTTTTTTCAGCTTAGGAGCAATGGATATCTGTGTGTCGCCATTATGTATAATAAATGAAAAGATGTATTTTAATGCAAACTATATCTATAGCCGTAAATTATATTTCTTGTAAAACTGCGATGTAGTTAACTTATTTACAAAGAATAAAGAAGGTAAAAATCCATGCACCCATTCTCATTTGTAAGTAGCGTTTGCTTTATATAATTCTTCGAGTTCAAAGATCTGGTCAAAAATTCTCCCCTTCAACTGCTGTACATGTTACAAATTTGGGAGAATGTAGGGTTAAATAGAGGTATCACTTTACTTATGAGTTGATCTATTCTGTTTGCTGAATCGTGAAGATATTTTATGGTGAAGTTCGGATATAACGCGCGCTGTCATTGGTTGAAAGAGCGTGCACTATCAGGGTAGAGAATAAAGATCTAGAGGGTAAAGCTGTTATGTCATCTGCCAAATTGTACTATGTCTGACCATTTCCCGGACTTCTTTCTAGCTTTTTTTCGTGAAATTTCGGAACTAGCGAGTCGGCAAATAGCAACAAGAGCCAAAGAAAGGTTTGTAAACATGCCAAGCGCTATAATTGACGTAATTCTAACGTGAGCAAAGACGAAAATCCTCAAAGAGAAAACGAAATGGACACTCCGAGTTTTGAAGGTTTCCACGCGTGTTAATTCAATACTGTTGATAAGCGATAGTTTACAGTTGGTTTTATGAACAATTATTGAATGAGGTTTTGAGATATTCAGAACAATCAAGGTCGAGGTAGGGGTTAGCAGCCGAAACCTTTCTTTTTTTTCTTTTCGCTAATTAGGGCTTTTGAATGGCAGCTATAATCTTCTATTGGCTGTTATTTGGTGAATTATGAACGCATTTTCACTGGTTCTTACCTATTGTCCATCAATCGGAGGACGTACGCATAGATGACGTCACCATCATCAACGACGCACCACGTACCACTTTTTTTTTTGAGGACCCCATTTTGACGTCATCTGTGATGGTTCATCACAGAACAGACACAAGGCAAACGTAGATTCTATTTGGTCAAACAATAAAATTTAACTCCGCAACTTACGTCGCCTCGCACTCTAAAAGGGAAGTTAAATGTAGAAATGTGCCATCTTCGTTTTCTCTCTGTATTTTCAAGGGGATGACTTAACATGTGAAGAACAAATAGGCCCTCTAGCATTGACTACATGGAATCACGTGACGTAAAAAAAAAAAACTAAAACAAAACATCTTTGACAATTACTGAGACTTGCAGCAATTTCATTGAAAAGTGTAGCTCGCGGAGAGCCAATCACCGATCGAGCTTTATGCGTAATGGATATATATCCTTGATATATTGATGTCCATTGAGAGAGTTTTTAACCTCTCTTTGCATTATGTGAAAAGTATGAATATTTCATGAGTTTTGTTGATGGAATATGGTGATTTCTGATCTGACTTCACAAAGCCAATTTTCACTCTCAATCGTTTACCACCAGACATTAAGTATGCTTATTCCATGGTGTTTTCTATGCATTTACTCTGGTACTGAAGAATATGCTCAAAAATTAGCATCCTCTTAACCTGGTGATAATTTCCGTCTTCCTTATGACTTTATTGTTTGATTCAGGGATACGGTAAGAGGAAATAAGTGCGACACTTTACAGATAAAATGGACGATTCGGTTGAGATCTTGAGTCTCTTTTACTTCTTTTTTTCTATTCCAAGCTTTCGTTGATCTATGGAATCGTCAGCACAGTTTAACAATTTGGATGGCACGAAGAAGGTGAAAACAAGTTTTCGATCGTCTTGTTGGTGACCTTTCCAGTTTTTTTAACCTCCATCCCTCATTTTGCGAAAAGACATCTTGCTCCAGATCTTCTTCGCCACTCGCAGGCCAAAGATCTCTGTCCAGAGGAACTAGATAATTTTAAGTGGCGGCCAGGAAGCTGTCAAAGGGAAAAAAACTTGAATATAATGAGAATGGTTTAAGAGGCTCCTTAGTACAAAAATTGCGAATGTTCGATGTCAACACACTCCGCTGTACACAGAAATATCTGAAAGGCGAGGACAAAGGTGTGCAGGAATAAGGTATTTGCTAAGGCTGTTTTGTTTTGCACAATAATCTTACTTTTTGGTTAGAACTTGATCGGCATTTTCCAGCTCATTATGTTTTTGTGCATGTTAAGCAGCTGTTTAATTCTTTTCAATATGCGGGAAATTTAAATATTTTCCCGAGAACTCTGCACCTAGATGGCTCTATCTACTTTAGAGTTGCAGATAGCTGTACCTGCAGTATACTATACACTGAAAACCAATGGATCTGATGTTCTATATTCCAAATTTAAGAATCTTAGGAAACGGACAAAGAAAGTTATTAACTCAAGTTACCATCAGTATCTTAAGTCTCTGTCTGGAAACCTTCAAGACAGCCTTAAGTACTTCTGGTCCTTTTATTCGGTTAAATAAAAAACTAAAAGAATACCTGAAACCCTATGGCGATACTCGATCTACTGACTTAACATCCGAGTTGGAGTTGCTTAATAAGTTTGTTCAATCTATCTATCTCAAATCTTCAGTGGACAGCAAACTGTTAACTACAAATGTCGTTGATCCTAATTTGTTATTTGGCATCAAAACTTCTGCGTCAGAGGCACAAGGAATTTTTAAGCAAGATTAACACAAACAAGTCCCATGATGTGGATAATTTACCAGCACCAATCCTATGTTTGTGTGCTAAGGAACTATCCATTCCCTTAGCTTACCTCTTCAACTTGTCTCTAAAGTCTGTAAAAGTGCCTGATTTATGGAAATCAGCTAATATCACCCCAGTTCACCAGAGTGACAGCAAGGAACTTGTAAAAAAGAACAGATTAATCTCATTGTTGCCCATTACAGCAGAGTGTTTGGAACAGATAGTACAGACTGCTGTCTACAAGCATATTTCTCGCTATTTAACTGAGTGGCAACATGGATTTGTCAAAGGCAGATCGTGTGAAACACAGCTGGTTCTTACCCAGCACCAGCGGGCTGCGGTCCTTGACGAAGGGTGTCAAATAGACGTAACATTCTTTGATTTCTTCAGGGCTTTTGAAAGTGTGAGTCGTCAACTTTTATTACAAAAGTCCTGCAATTTTGGAATCTCTGGATCACTCCTGCACCGGTGTGAAAGTTATTAAAGCAACCGTCAACAAATAGTGGTGCTGGATGGAGTCTCCTCTTCCTGGGCTGAAGTTACATCTGGAGTCTCACAGGGTTCTCCTTGTTGGGGCCCTTATTCTTGGTCATTTTTATAAGTGATTTACCCGTAGTCGTTCTCCCGGGCAACACTATTGCTCTTCATGCAGATGACTGCAAGTGCTCTAGGATCATTGATGCTGCGGATGATCAGGATTTGTTTCAAGAGGATTAGGACAGCTTTTTTCAGTGGAGTGTTCGAAATTGCATGAATTTGAATGTACATAAATGCAAAATTATGATATTAACTAAGAAAAAACATCCCTATATTTCAAGCTTTACTTTGAATAATTTTGGACTGGATGAAGTCAAGGAATTCAAAGATTTGGGAGTTATTACCAATGAGCACCTCTAATGGAACTCCCATGTTGGCATTATGGTTGCTGAGGCTAATAGAATGCTTGGTCTAATTAAAAGAACCAGTAGAAGTTTGGATGATTCAAGGACCCTGAAAACTTTATATTGCACCCTGATCCGTTTTAACCTCGACTATGGTTCCGTGGTGTGGTCACCGTACACTAAAAGGAATATTGAAAAACTGGAAAGAGTACTTTTACTTAAGAGTACTTTTTTGTAATCTGATTTATTGGGTAATCTAAAGATATTTTTAAATCATAGATTTACATTTGATTTAAATTCTGACTCAGAGTTTTTAAGGAGTATTTCATCTATTCATCTAATTATTCAAAGTTTTATCTTTTACTTAATAGTTTACTTGTCTTTGAATGGTGTCTATGACTTCTCTACGGATTATCCATCGGCTGTACTATTTATCATTAATAATTATTTTAGTTTGGTTATTTTGCATTGTATATGCCACGAATTGCAATAAATAAATAGCTTAATAAATAAATAAATAGTGTTGGTACATGATTGTATCATCTGTAGATATCAGAATAAATAGCTGTAGGTTGTTAGTGTAGATACTGCAGATGAATGTCTGTATCCTAGATAGACAAAAGATAGCTTTATACAATGTAGACAGGGTCGATAGCTGCACCTGTATAGAC